GTGCATGCCTTTAATCCCAGCATTCGGAGGCAGAGGAATGGGGATCTCTGTGAGTCTGAGGTTAGCTAGTCCACCAAGCAAGGTCCAGGACAGTCAGAAATTCATAGAGGTACCCTGTCTCAAATCAACGGCAATGACAAAAGGGGAAAACATGGCTCCAAGAAAATCTTTGGAACCCATAATTCCAATCCTAAACATTTTCTTGGCATCTTAAGTGTTGCCCTGTGATGTCCATAATCAGCCCTGCACTCCACAGAGTATGTTGGTTTCTGAAATCCTCCCCACCTGATGAAAAATGGGGATGAGAGTGGTCGCCTTCTCCATTCGTGAGTCTTGAATGAGATGTGTCTATATAAAGCTTTAGTCCAGGGCCTGGCCCATGGAACTCACTCAGTAAGTCTTAGCTATTCTTACTATTATTACTTCTTGTTCTCAGCCACTGATCAGATGGTAAAGCATTTTATTTTAGTATCTCGTGTTCCAATCCTTGCACATGCTGCAGGCCATTCTGTATTTTACTATTAACTATATTCTTTTCATCCTGTTACCTGCTTCATCTCTCTGGCTCAAAAGCCAGGAGTCATTTCCTGTTACTTATGGTATAGAATTCTCAAAGCCCTTCATAACCTGCTCCATTGCCAGCCAACTCTTTAGGTAATTTACAGGGGGCCAGAAACCTCCACAGGGAAGACAAAAAGCACTTGGGGTCTAAAACCTGATATGCCTTAAGCAGATTAATACAAGCGTGGAGAGATAACACAGGCGAATGAGTATTCTATTGAAATCTGACCTGGAAAGTCCGCGTCTGGAATGATTTTAGTTGACTTTCAAGCTCTATCGTCAGTGTGTTACAAAAGAAAGTTGTATGTGTGCGTGTGGGGGGTGGTACAGAAAGTGCTACAAGATGTGAGTGGAAGGACGAAGCACAATTGCAGTGTGTTTGGGGGCAGGAGGAGCTTTAAAAGAAACGAGTCAGCCCTGGTTTTGCCAGCATGCAGGATGCCCTGTGTGGCCGAAGTCCTGAGTGAATGTATATTTTGATACGGGCTCAGCCTTTCGAGTATGAATGTTTATGAGCAATTGATCGGTGTGTAAAAAGACTAGCAACTTCGACCTCCTCCTCCCCAAAGTTTGCTGACCTTTCCCTGTGCTTTATCTAATAAACATGCTGGGGTACTAGAGAACCTGAACCCGGCCTCATTATATGTGTGTTTGTGCATCTGTTCTTCATTCTCTTGACATCCCTAGCTAGCGTTCCAGGACCCAAGCCTTTTAAGATTCTGTGCCAGCCTATAGTTGCAGATATTCTAGATATTCTGGAGTCTGAGGCAGGAGGGAATATATATATATATATGTGTGTGTGTGTGTGTGTGTGTGTGTGTGTGTGTATGTATATATGTATATTTATTATTACACATATAAATACTTACATATACATATCTGCACACATAGATGTGTATACACACATATATATTGTGTAGATATATATGTAAGTATTTATATTTGCAAATACTTGTATAAACACACATATAAATGTATGTTTGTAAGTATATATTTGTATATATAAATGTCCAAAAAGAAAAATGAATAGGCTATTTGTGAAATTCCAAGTCTCTAAAGCTCAAAATGTCACAGAACTTGATTAATAACTTTTAAAAGAAGGTTTTGTTTTGTTTTCTTTTTTTTTTGAGATCCAGAAATACAATTGTTTATTAGAAAGGAAAAAAAAAATCTTTCATGCATCATGTAACTGATGCTTTGTGAAATTCCATGACAAATAGTCACCCATTGTTTTCATAGTAATCATTGCATCATGAAATTAAAACTTTCAATACTAAAGTGTTTTTAAAACAATTACCCAGCATTGAAATCACTATATGTTTTCTTCTAAAAGCAGGCTGTTTAGTAGGTACAGTTACATGAAAAATGGTTGACGTTTGGATTCAGCTCCACAGCTATCTTCCTAAATTCTTCCCTTGGTTCCTAGAAAACCAGTGGTTGTGCTGAAGGTCTGCTCTGCATGCAGGTAGACAGGATTCCTCTTGGTTAAGAACAGACCTGTCTCCTTGCCTTACCCAGTGCTCCCCTTTTGTGCTTCTGTCTTGTTTTGTTTTCTTGAGACAGAGTTTCTCGTGTAGCCCTGGCTGTCCTGGAACTAGCTCTCTAGACCAGGCTGGCCTCGAACTCACAGAGATCCACCTGTCTCTGCCTCCCAAGTCCTTGGATTAAAAGAGTGCAACACCACCTCCCAACTACTTTAAAAGAATTTTGATGAAGTGGAGGTTTCTATTAAATTAGAGATTTTCAAATATTTCCTTCTTTTTTTTTTTTTTTTTTTTTTTTTTGAGACAGGGTTTCGCTGTAGTTTTAGAGCCTGTCCTGGAACTAGCTCTTGTAGACCAGGCTGGCCTTGAACTCACAGAGATCTGCCTGCCTCTGACTCCTTCGTGCTGGGATTAAAAGTGAGTCACCACTGCCCAGCTAAATGTTTCCTTCTTAAAAAGTCTTTTTTTTCTATAATAAATAAATAAATTTTTTTAAAAAAGTTTTTTTTTTTTTTTTTTTTTTTTTTTTTTTAGACAAGCTCAGGGCTGAGTAGGTAGAGTGTGGGCTTAATAAGTGTAAGGCCTTGCTTCCCTCAAACGAGTAAGCCAATAAAGTTCAGCTATAAAATAAATTATGAAACTGCTCAGGCTGAAGTCTGAGAATTTGATAATCTTTATTTTATTATTATTTTCAGGCAGGGTTTCATGAAGTCTAGACAGGCCTCCAACTCATGGTGTAGCTGAGGACTGACCTTGGATTCCCAGTCTTCCTACTGCCATCTCTGCAGAGCTGGGATTACAGGTGTGTGCCACTACATCCAACTTCCCTTTTTTATTTAAAGCTTTTATATGTAGTTATAAAAGGTGGCTATTTTAGTGTCGCAGTGATAGGACTAAAGAGGTAATATACCTCCTTTTCCTCAACCACATTTTTTTAACTTTTTGCATAAAGATAAATGTTATTAATCTCATAGCTGATAATACAAGAACAAGTCAAAAAATCTTTTTCCAAAAGGCTAGAGAGTAAATAAATATTCTAAGTTTAAAGGCCATGTATATAGTCTTTCTTTTATAACCTTTTAAAATTATATGCCAAGTGGTGGTGGCACACAACTTTAATCCTAGCACTCAGGAGGAACAGGCAGGTGGATCTCTGTGAGTTCGAGGCCAGCCTGGTCTACAGAGTGAGTTCCAGGACAGCCAGGGCTGTTACACAGAGAAACCCTGTCTCAAAAAACCAAATATATATAATTATATATATATATATATATATATATATATATATATATATATATATGATAAATAGATAAAACACACACACGGCAAACCTGGTCAGCAAGTGGTAGTTTTCTGATCACTGGTATAAAGTATGTGCTTCTTTTGTTAGAGAAATTGTTCTCTTCAGACTTACACTAGGGCCGGGCAGTGGTGGTGCACGCTTTTAATCCCAGCACTTGGGAGGCAGAGGCAGGCAGATCTCTGTAAGTTCAAAACCAGCCAGGTCTACAAGAGCTAGTTCTAGGACAGGCTTCAAAGCTACAGAAGCCTGTCTCAAAAAAACAAAAAACAAAAAAACAACAAAAAAAAACAGACTTACGCTAGGCCTTTTGCATTTCTTCTCACCCAGATGTTAGGTTTACTAAGGGTAGCTAATCAAAGATACCCAGTTCTTATTTATCTCTACAATGCTTATCTCCCACACTTTATTGCTTGACTTGTATATTACTTGATGAATATTTACTGAGGTAAATGAAGAGGTGAATATGGCCAATGTTGTTTCTCTGAGGTATACTTTTATTGTATCCATTCACTATGGGGTGCTGGGGCTCTACCAGGAGTCTGGGCCTGTCAGGCAAGCACTCTGTCACCCAGCTACACTCTAGGTCTTGCTTTGGTTTGGAAAAAAAGCGATTTTTAAGTCAATAATCAAATTATTTGAAGAAGTGCTCTTACCTTGGAGTTCCACACATCCCTAAGAGGGGTAGGGATCTCAAAAACTAAGCAGACAAAAAAAAAAAAAAAAAAAAAAAAAAAAGCTGAGCTGACAAATTTGCAAGTGTGTGTATTTTTCTGGTAAGAGGATTGATAGCTTTTCTTGGATTTCAGATGGATTTTTAACCCCCAAGAGTTAAAAAACAACCACATTGAGTTAAAAAACAACCACATTAATGAAAGAATTTCGGATATCTACCATAACCTGGAGTACGTACGTATGTATGTATGTATAAGAATGAGAGAAAGGAACTCTTTAGGATACCTCTCAAATCATATGCACGTTCTCTTGATTGTGAAGAGTAAGGCACAGCCTCTCCCAACCAGCCGACATTTTTGAATACACGGCACTCCCAGCACTAAAATTGCCTTCAGCCTTCCTGACCACTGCCGCGGCAGGATGACAGTGGAAGCTGCCTGAGTCTTAGATCAGGACAGCGGTCTGTGCTTCCTCTTTACGGGTTATTACAAAATCAGAGATGGGCCTCCCCTGTACTCAAGAGGGGAAGGCTGTGGGTTCAGGGATAGTGGTGGATTAACTTCCCTCACCCAGAGACAAAGCCATTGATACAGGAAAGCAAAACATTCACTCCAGAGCTTTAGGAAACTCTCCCCAGCCAAAAAAACATTTTCCTAACCCCTACCCAAAAAGGCCAGACAGCCTGGAGACCCTTGTTTTTGTGTCTCTAATCACCAGCTCAGACAGTGCCCTCTGGGCTGTTTGGATGGCCTATCCCTCTCCCTCCCAGGATCATTCTCTCTTTTGTTGCTTTGTGAGAAAATTATGGCTAGGAATTTGATCTGGAGCCAGTGTCAGCTTCCGGGAGTGACCTCAGCATCCAAGTGTGAGCTTAGGACGCTGAGAAGATGGGCACATTTCACAGTGGAAATTGCTCCCTATGACATTCCAATCTGTTCGAGGTTCGGTCTTCCATGCTACAGAACAGGAGCAGCACAAACAAGGCCCCAAGGTTTGGGTTTATTCAGCTCCACCCAGAACTAAATCAAAGGCTATGACACATCAAAGAAACAAACCATACACTGTGGACCATACACCTATCCCTTCCCCTGAGGATGCTGCTACCTCTGGGGTGGTGGACTTCTGGAATCCCCGTGAGACGTAGACAGGAGATTCACTGGGTGCTGGCTCTCCCGCGGGCAGTCAGGACTCAACTCTGGCTACTTCTTCTTCTTCCTCCGGGTCAGGAGGCGCAGGGAGCAGAGAGATGTAGACCTCATTGACTTCCGTGTCCAAATGCCGGCCACCCCGAGGTGCCTCCAAGTTAAGGATGCCATCATGGGAGAGGGCAGCTCGGACCCGCCAGGGGTCCACATCTGCTGGCAGGACGTAGGTGCGACAGAACTCTCGGGACACGAAGCCGTGTCGATCCAGACGCTGGGGGTGCCGGGCCGACACCTCCAGCAGGTTGTCCACAGTCCTCACGGTGACCTCGTCTGGGGTAAAGTGGCTCACATCAAGAAATGCCTGGAACTTGCCCTCGCTGAGCCTGAGCTCTGAGGCCCCTGCCCTACTGCCCTCCCCAGCTCTGGCGGCCCGAGGCCGAACATAGTAGCCATGGTAGAGGGTGGGGGTCAGGATCTCTTCTGGCAGGAGACCTGGGGGTGCAGAGAGAGAAAGCAAGAGGTAGGATGAGGCAAGATGCAGTGTGCACGGGGCTGAAAGGCGAGATCAGGAGATGTGGGCCTGGGAAGAGCAGGTGGGGAAGCTGCTGAAGAGGGTCTGGGAAAGGAAAGGAGATGGCAATGGGGGAAACAAGCAGGGATCGGGAGGACAGAAGCGAAACCAGAAAGTATGCAGCTTGCAAGACCCGGATACCCAAAGCCCCGCGGGTCTAAAGCCTATCTTGAAGTCTGTAGCTAGGGGAGAGCCTTGGCTTGAGGGGGGAATCTGGGGTGGGAGATGGCCCAGGAGTTCACTTAAGCCCCAGGTAGGGTGGAGGCCAGTGAAACTGGGCGGTGAGCCCGGAATTTCAGGAGGTGGGGGTGGGAAGCATCTGGGCCCATACCTTCTCCGAAGCGCTGCTCACCCAGGCGGCTGGGGTTGGCAAATTCGTACTCGGCAGTGGCTGGGTGGGCATGTGGCACTGTGCGGCCAGACATGACTGAGGTTGCGACTGGCAGCCCTGATCCCAAGTGCAACCCCAACAAGACCGACGCGACCCCTTTAGCTGGAGGGAGAGCCAGGACTCAGTCAGAGTGGGGGCGGGGTCTACACCACCGAAAATAGTGCAAAGCCTCTGGGGGAGGGCCAGGAGCCTGGGCCCAGAGTGCGATGAGGGTGTGACCAGCACAGCCTGGACCCCCTAAGTCCCCTCTGCTGCACACCCTTCAGCTGTTGCAGAGGCCTCGGAGGACAGCTGGTGGGTCCTGGTCCTGGAGTGAGTTGGGAAAAGAAATTGGCGCCCTGCCTGAGGGTTTGGGCCTTCACAAACTGTACATTTCCGTATCACCTTTTGTCCTTCTCAATGGTAGGCACTGTGTGCACCACATCGCATCAAAGATGCAAGATGCATTTTCTGTCTCTTTAATTTCAGCGTATTCTGAACCCAGGTCGACTCAGGGATCCAATCAGATAACCTGGGACTGACTGACATGTTCGTGGTCACTGCTCTCCTCTAGGGCACCACAAAGAGTTAATGTCTCTGGGGCCCGACCTAGGAAGATTCCAGTCCCTGCCCAGGCTCAAGATAGTTGCTGGCTCAACTCCCCTGGCATGCAAGACTGGAGAGGAGGAGGGGCACGCCACCAGCTGCTTGAGATTCCTGACCCTGTCCTAGCTCCAGAGAACAAGGATGGGGGTGGGTGTCCCTGGGAGTGGACAGAGAGCTAGTGAAACAAGACCATGACAAGTCACCGGCCAGCTCAGCCGTGTTTGTGTTTCTCTTTTCTTAGCTCAGTGAGTACTGGGTATGTGTCACCCTGCCAAATCCTGTCACAAGTCTCCATGAACTGGCGGTGAGCTGGGATAATAAAACCCCTGACATCACCATTCCAGAAGCTTCACAAGACTGCATATATAAGGGGCTGGCTGTAGCTGCAGCTGAAGGAGTAGACCAGTCAACTGAGACTACATTCATCTAGCCACCATGGACATCGCCATCCATCACCCCTGGATCCGGCGCCCCTTCTTCCCTTTCCACTCCCCCAGCCGCCTCTTTGACCAGTTCTTTGGGGAGCATCTGTTGGAGTCTGACCTCTTCTCAACGGCCACTTCTCTGAGCCCCTTCTACCTTAGGCCACCTTCCTTCCTTCGGGCACCCAGCTGGATTGACACTGGACTCTCAGAGGTGAGTCTGCCCCTGTGCCAGGGCAGGAGCACCCTTCCGGGAATCTCCTGGACACTTACTTCTTCGTTTGTTTCCCTTTTTGTGGCTGCCTAAGTCATCTCAGGCACGTGTGTGTGCAAAGGTACGGAGAGATGAGGTCACTGTTTTCCTCTTCCCTCGGGCAGCTGTTTCTGTTTGATGTTTCTCTGTTTCCTGCTACACTTTTCTGTGCATGGTGAAGCTCATCTTCTGTCCCCCTAAAGACAAAGCAGGGTGTCCCTTTCTGGCTTTATTCATGATGATTTGCGTTAAGAGCTGCTTCAGCACCTTTACTTACCTTCCTAATAACCAGGTCCTGGCATATTTTGTCATCTCCAATCATAGAGATTGGAGAGAAACCCACTCATTCTGAACTTTCCATGCCCCCTGGAAGGAGCTGGAAACATCAATCACTATATTCTACCTCTCTCTTCCTTTGCCTCTGATTTTCTGGGTTTCTCAGGGCTGAGAGAGCGTACTCACCTCACTTTATGGCTTATGAGGATTTGATGCATGTCTGCTCCAGGAAGCCTCTACTTGTCCTAACAGGGTGGGAAAAGGGTTGAACAGATAAGATTAGCAGAAGCTCTCACAGATAACACTCTGGTTTAAAAATATTCCAGGGTGAGGAAACAGGAGCTGAGTGGGCAAGGGCTTTGGAAGGACAGGACCAGCAGAACATTCCAGATTGAGTGGGAAGGAAACTTGGCAGGGAGCTGAACAAAAAAAAAAGGGGGCCTTTGTCTTTTACACAAATGACAAAGCCAGCATTGGGTAGAGAGGCAGCAGAAGCCATGCCCCCTAGTGACCTATCTTCTTCCCTGTGCCTCTAAGTAAAGTTTGGGACTGATGACCAAGAGGTGTCCCTTGTAGAACACTATGGTGGCTCACATGCATCAGAGTCATTCAGAAAGGGATTTTTTTTTCTTTAGCAGCAAAGAGGAAGATGAATTACCTGGACAGGAAGTAAATCTATAGAACAGTGAGTCTTCTCCAATTTACTAAATATCCTGCGATCTTTTCTCCTCCCTTCCCCACCACTGTCATTATAGATGCGGATGGAGAAGGACAGGTTCTCTGTCAACCTGGACGTAAAGCACTTCTCCCCTGAGGAACTGAAAGTCAAGGTGCTGGGAGACGTGATTGAAGTTCACGGCAAGCACGAGGAGCGCCAGGTGTGTGCACCGGTCTGTTGCTTTTGTGGATGCACTGAGTGCGCATTGGATGCCAGGCACCGCCACCAGTCTCCGAGGCTGGCAGAATTCCAGGCCCCCAACAGAAGGGACTAGAGCAGGAGCTGTAAATCAATGGTTTGGAAGCTAAATTAGGGGTAGAGCTGTTGTTATTGCTATGGTTTTGCTGAGAGAAGGGTCCCTTAGTGTTTGTTTTGATTGCCTTGTTGTCTGATGACATGGAAATATCAGAAGACTTTTCAAAATATAACTCAGGCATCAACATTTTACAAAAACCTCCTTGGGTAATTTCAGTCTGTAATCAAAACTGGCAACCGCTGATTTAGGTGGAGTATGTTGTACATAATGGTTATTGTCCATAATGATATTAACTACAGGGTGGAAAGCATTTTGGTCTTGTGACTTTTAGATGTTCAGGGTTCCATGGCTCTTCTTCTGCTCATTTTAATGCTAAACCCCATGGTTTGTCCACATTTCGGAGCTTCGGGCTTCCGGTTGTAAGGAAGTCAGTGAATTGAGATTTGTTTGGGTGGATCCTTGCAATTCAGAAGGTGTAAGGGTTAGGTCAACAATTCCTCTGGCACTTTTGGCAATTCTTTTTCTTGACTTCCTGAAAAGGGGTTACGATTGCTTCTTAAAAATGGATAACTCAGTTAGGCGTGGTGGTGCACACCTTTAATCCCAGGACTCAGGAAGCAGAGTTAGGCGGATCTCTGAGTTCAAGACCAGCCTAGTCTATAGAGCTAGTTCTGGGACAGCTACACAGAGAAATCCTACTTATCTCAAAAAACAAATCAAAATTAATAACTCAGAACCTGTGCGTCATTAGTGTATCTGAATGTTCTCAGGCTGTTTCAGTTTTGTTCATATAACTTAAGACTGGACCACCATGATAGAGTCACCTTATATAATATCAGTGATCCTATGGAATATCCTGAGACATTCCTAAGGAACTGGGACAACTTATGGGCTTCCTCAAGGACATAGATCCTCAGTTCCAAAGGACAACCAACACAGATTCATCCCTTTGTGGCTAGTGCCCCTAGGTGTAATATCTGGGCAGTTTTATCCTAGGGTTAAACCGGGATGAACAGCCCTTGACTTTGCTATCTGTATATTTGCTGCAGTGTTGGAGGCCTTTCACAATCAAACTATATCCCCAACTACAGATATTTCTTTTGTCCTTGTGATGTCAGGGCCATTTGGTCTCACCTAAGGGAAGGGAATGTCTGAGTTTGGGCCAAGTGATGGTGTTTCCATTCTTATTTCTCTGCTTCTTTCTTCCTTCTCTTGGATAGGATGAGCACGGCTTCATCTCTAGGGAGTTCCACAGGAAGTACCGGATCCCGGCTGATGTGGATCCTCTCAGCATTACTTCATCCCTGTCATCTGATGGGGTCCTCACGGTGAATGGACCAAGGAAACAGGCCTCTGGCCCTGAGCGTACCATTCCCATCACCCGCGAAGAGAAGCCTGCTGTCACTGCAGCCACTAAGAAGTAGACTCCCTTTCTCTCACCGCATTTTTTAAAACAAGGAAGTTTCCTATTAACGAATGAAAATCTGTGACGAGTGCTGAAGCTTATTAATGCTAAGGGCCGGCCCAGATTATTAAGCTAATAAAATACCATTCAGCAACAGATTTGTCTCATGTGTACATATTCCGTGTGCTTTAAATACATCTACAAATGTCACGGATTCAATTCTCATCCTGTGATTCAGGGGACTCCAAGGACTTTTGGATCAGAAGGACTGGCAGCACTTCCTAGCGGTACAAAGCCAGGAGAGTGAGCCACTTTCCCTGGTCTTCTGATCTTGTCCATCACACTCTGTACTGTTAGGGCAGAGTTGTAAGGGGTAGATTAGAGAGGACAAACAAAACAACAATAACCACTATAACAACAACAAAAACCCCAAAAGAAGAACAAGTGATGGCCTGGCAAAGTCCAAGGAATATCAGTTCCTCTAGAGAGAGAAACTCTGGCTAGCCACACATAAAAGACTCTGGTGCATCTCTGAAATTAATTACCTCACCAGGGAGACATGGTGACCTTAGCGTGACTTGACAAGAGTTGTCAGTAAATAGGGCATGGGTGGTAATCATTAAATAAACCTCTTAGGTGTAGGGCCAAGTATTCACACCCTGCCTCCCTCCCCTTTGGCTGTTTTCTTTCTTTTAAAAAGATAATTTATTTAAATTCATTTGATGTGCATTGGTGTGAAGGTGTCAGATTCCCTGGAGCTGGACCATTCTTAGCTAACACGTGGACGCTGGGAGTTGGACCTGGGGGTCTGTGGAAGAGCATCCAGTGTTCTTAACTGCAAAGTCATCTCTCCAGGCCCCCCGACTTTTTTTTTTTTTTTTTTTTTTTGCTTTTTCAAGACAGGGTTTCTCTGTGTAGCCCTGGATTTCCTGTAACTCACTTTGTAGACCAGGCTAGCCTCAAACTCAGAGATCTGCCTACCTATGTCTCCAGAGTACAGGGATTAACAGAGTACAGGCATATAACACCATGCCCAGTCAAGTTTCAAGTCTCTAAAGGTTAAAAGTGATACGTTGCTTTAAAAAAAAAATCAAAAAAGATGAACAACAAAAAAATAAACAATAACAACAAAAAACCCCATACCTCCCTAATAATCTAATAATCTGACATAGCATGATCTACTCAGAAAACCCTCTTCTTTAAAGTCATATTCGATTTCTGTGTCTGTACATCAATCAGTATTGGCTGCATGCGGAAGTGCTTTTCTCCCTCTTTGGTCTAGCCAATGGCAAGATTTGTTCCAGCGTTTGTTACGTCCTTCCAAGCCTTGTGCACCCTGCAACAGAGACCAAGCTCAGTCACAGCTGGTGCAAATAAAGCAGGGAAATTCCTTTTGTCTTCAGTGATTGGCTTGAAAGGGCTCTGACTCAATTATAGTAAAAGGGACAGTAAGGAGGTCTACTTGAAATGCTCCCAGGGACTGTTTTTAAACTAGGAAAGAGTGCCGAGGGGCTAGCTCAGTGGTAGCGTTTTTGTTAGTGTGTGTGATGGTGTGATGTCCTAGTTCCCATCCTTTCGACAAAATAAAAATTTTGCAAAAGTGAAAACAGAACACTAAGAAGAGTTGAGATGCAGGAAAGGTGGAGGTAGGAGAGAGGTGTCTGCGTGTCTGTGTGTGTTTGGGGGTGGGGAGGGAGGGAGGAGTCTCTGGGAAGAATGTTTACTTCAAATGTAGAAGAAATCTTGGAGATGGTTACTGTAAAATTCTTTGTCTTTGTATATGTGTGTGCATGTGCGTGTGTGTGTGCGTGAGTCTGTGTGTGTGTGTGCATGCATGTGTGTGTGTGGGGGTGTAGGTCAGAGGTTGATGGTGTTGTTCTCCATGTAATTTTTGCTTGTGTATGTGTCTATGTGTTAATGTGAACATTTGTGTATATAAATGAGGGTATGTGTATGCCACGGTGCATGTATGTCAGTCAGAGATAAACCTCAGGTCCTTGCTTTCTGCCTTGTTTGAGATGAGTTCCTTCCTTTTTCTACTGTGAGCTCCAGGTTGGCTAGCCTTCTAGCTTCCTGGCATTCTCCTATCTCTGCCTCCACTTTTACTGTGGGACCTCCAGGATCATGCATGTGTGCTGTGCTTGCCTTTACATGGGTTGAGAGCATTAGAACATCAAATGCTTTATCCACGGATCACTGAACTGTCTCCCCAGCCTAAACCTGGTCTTTCTTGGACCAACGCCTCTCACAGAACCTTTAACTCAGACAGTAGTCTGGACTGGCTGGCCGGCAAGCGCCAGGGATATTCCTTTCTCCAGTGTGGAGATGCACAATGCTGTCTTTTTGTTATTTTTTTAAGGTAGGTGCTGGGGACTTAACTTAGAGAAGCAAACACTTTACTGAGTAAGCCCTTGACTAAAATTTTAAGGCAGAATTGCTGATTCTATTTACATATGATTTACTCATTTAAATTGTAGAGTGTACTCTCAATAATACATCCATAGACCTGAGCATCTATCCCTAAAGTCAATTTTAGATTTTATTAAGTAATATCTTATATCCCTCAGCTCTAGGTAACCAGTTGCCTATTTTTACTGATTTGTTTATTTTGGACATTTCCTAAAAATGTAATCTTTGATATATGGCCCTTTGTGACTAGATTATATTTAAATTTTAAATATAATTTTATATACATAGATAGATAGATAAAAAGATAGATAATTTGTTGTTGCTGTTGCTCTTGTTGCTGTGGTTTTTGAGATATAATTTCTCTGTGTAGTCCTAGCTGTCCCGGAACTTATTCTGTAGACCAGATTGGCCTTGAACTCACAGAGAACGCCTGCCCCTGCCCGCCCCCCCCCCAGTTCTGGGATTAAAGGAAAGGCAAGTACCCCCACGACCTGGTGCTTTTTCTGTTTTTTATAATTATATAATGAGGTGTCTGGCAGTTCATAACTGCATTTGTTTTGGTTTTCGTGCTGGAGGTAGAGCCAAAGGCAGGTTAAGCACTCACTTTAACCCTGAGTTGTAACCCTTGTCTCTTACTCATTCTCAATGGTTCAGAAGCTGGCAAGGTGAGCATGGGCGGAGCATGATTTTAGGAAGAGAAGAGCGTGGAGTGCTCCGGTATTTTGGTCCGACTGGAGAGCTAGGCGTATGAAAGGAGTGTGGGAAAAGAAGCAATGGGAAAGGGCTCTACCAATGCTTTGCAATTTACCCGGAAGGCAACAGAAGCCAATGAGGGAACGAAATCAAGCGAGTAGAACAACAACTTAGTATTTTCACTTTTACTACAATGAAATACAGAGATGGAGGAGTAGACAGGAAATGGAAAGTGGGGGCATCAGAAAGGATTTCGGGAAACTGAAGTCGGGAATGTGACAAAGGCAATACAGATGTCAAAGACACGAACGCAGATCACAGGGACATATAATGAACAGGGCGTGCATCTATCTGGACGAGAAAGGAAACCCTAAAACAACTCCTTACTCTGTATTTTTGACAACAGCATGACGAGCTTATTGTGTAATATACAATATTAAAATTAGGAAGTGATTAAGATATATAAAGAGCTATGAAACTCACCAAGATATATGTGAGGGGGAACTTTTCAAGACATAGCATTATGAATCGTTTAGGTATGTCGTGTCTTTGGGAGTTCAGATGAAGACATTCAGAAAGCAGCTGAGTATTTAGATGTACTGCTCTAGGGATGCATTTGGGATGGAAGCATACATTGAGAATCTGGGAGTGGGTCGGTGAGATGGCTCAGAGAGAAAAAGTGCTTGCCACCCAGCATGAGGACCTGAGTCCTGTCCCTGAGACCCACCTAGTGGAAGAAGAAAACCAACTCCCACAAGATGTCTTCTGACCCACAGGAGTACACTGTGGCACACATTTGTGTGAAAACACACACACACAATAAATGTAATTAAAAATTACGATTGAAATCTGCAAGTATGTAACATTGGTTAAAGGCAGCATGGTTGATAGCTATCACCTGGGAGTAACACAAAGAGTGGAAAAAGGACAAACAAGAGAATGGTTGGGAAGGAAACCTTTAAGGACCTATGGAGAAAGGTCGGCTCATAAAACAACCCAAGAAGCAATCAGAGAAATGGGAAGAAACAGCTTGCCGCAGAGTCGTGGAAACCAAGAGAATGTTGGCCAGGAAACAGATGAGTGGCCACCGGAAGCTAAGGAGCCTGCTAACACCAAAGGGCGGCCTTAGAAACAGGGATCCAGGGACGTGACTGGAGGAAGAGATAGAGCTGAAGGGCTCGGATTGCCATTGGCAATGCTGCTCTAGCTTAACGGGAAGACAGCTTAAAATGACATGGAGGGGGAGACCTCCAGTGATGGCAGCAAGAGGCCAAATGCAGAGTAAGAAAGTCAAGTGACAATCAGCCAGACGCTGGGTTTGACAGACCCTCCACTTTCATGGATACCGTTTCAGGGCACCATAGGTCAAGAGAAAGATTATTGACAAGAAAGGAAAGGAATTTCCTTATACTCGTAAATGTCAGGTACAGCAAAAATCTAGAATAAGTGTTATGCTTGCCCAAGAGAATTTAAACACATTCTGGTTGATATGCTGAGCAAGATGAGGGGGGCCGCGATCACACCTGATACTGGACTCTGCTCTCCAGACTCTGACCAACGTCACATTAGAACGGATGTAAAAGTTGCAAAGTTAGAGACAGAACTGTCATTTACAAAGATAAAATCTGACAAAACAAAGACACAAATGCCAGAAAAACAGAGTTCAACGGAGTCTGCAAGATAAAAATCTATGTCTAAAGTTCTCCATTCTTATGTTGCTAGGAACATCCCCGAAGCCAGTCAGACAGAGCCTGTCCTTACTGAGTAACCCCTACTCAGGACTATGAAAAGAAAAATAACTTCCCTAGTACAGAGAATAGTAAATGTATTGACTGTATTTTGGAACATATCTCAGAAGTACAGTTTCATCTCAATAATTTCTGTGTCTATTCAAAAAATAATAAGGGAGAGACAGCCAGTTGTTACCTCCTCCTCTGAGAGCACCGAGGGCTCTCAGTTCCTCCCTTTTAGATCACCCCACTAGTGGCCTGCAATCACAGTTGTTCGATTAGACCTTGTTGTGTACTGTAAGGATTGGCTGGGGCTGCTTGGAGACAGTCTAATGATATATGTGCTGTTACCTGAGTATCAGGGAGACGGAGCACCTTGTTTCTGACACCTTGCCAGGTACTGAAAATACAGTCAAAACAGAGAAATCCCACGATACATATAATTTACCCAAAGAAGTCCTGAAGAAAGAGTATCTGTATAAACACATCACTGGAGTAAGGGGATTGAACCAGAAACCAAAATATTACAATAAAGAAAAGCCTCCCTACATTTACCAACTTGAGCTACTCACGGTTATCTTCTACCCTACCCACTCACCGCTGCACAGACCTCCCTCAGATCAGTAGCTCACTCCAGCATCTTTCTGAGCCACTAAGACCCGGGGTTAGGCTGCTACTCCTTGATCTACGAGGTTCAGCACGCTTAGCTTTGTTTGATTAATAGATTCCCTCAGTGCTCTCAGAGGAGGAGTTAACTAGCTGTCTCTCCCTTATAATTCTTTGGATAGGCACAGAAATTATTGAGATGAAATTGTACTCCTGAGATACATTCCAAAATAAAATCAACACACTCCATATTGTCTGTAGTAGGGGAGTTGTTTCCCACAGTCCTCAGCAGGGGTTACTCAGTATGGACAGGCTATGACTGACTGACTTCAGGAATGTTCCTGGCAACAAAGAAGCTATGTCAGGTTTTTCATACTTGCCCCGACAGAAAGCAGAGAGGAATGTTCACACATTTGAAAGACATCCTTTTTTTTTTCTAAAGATAGGATCACACAGGAGCTGGAGAGATGGCTCAGCGGTTAAGAGCACTGGCTGCTCTTCCAGAGGTCCCCAGTTCAAATCCCAGCAACCACAAGGTAGCTCAGAATCATCTGTAATGAGATCTGGTAAGAAGGTGTATATACAGATAGCGCACAGACAAATAACATCTTCAAAAAACCCAAAGTGAGGATCACAGTCTGTAGTCCAGGCTCGCCTGGAATCCGCTGTGTAACCCCCACTGGCAGGCCTCCAGCTGCCAGGTGTGCTCTTGCCTCAGCCTCCTGAGTATTCTAAGTGGGCTTTAGTTTTTCCTCTCCCTGCTGCACTCTGGTACTGGGGTTCAAACTTGGGGTCCTAAGCATGCCAAACAAGTGCCTCACAAAGGAGCCACAGCCTCCCTCCTTGTGTATAGAGAGCTGAGGCTGGCCTTGAGCACGGTGTCTGTCGCAGCCTCTCAAAGGCTGGAGAGTCAGACATGCTACTACACCTGTTCCCAGTGCTGGAGAAGTATGTCAGTCGGCAGAGTGCTTGCCCAACAGGCACAAAACCCTTTGATTGTTTAAACAAATTATTTATTACTTGAAATTATAATTACATCATTTCCCCCTTCCCTTCCTCCAAATCTTCCCAGATACCCCTCCTTTTTTCTTTTTCTTTTTTTCTTTTCTTTTTTTGTTGGTTTTTCAAGACAGGGTTTCTCTGTAGCTTTTTGGAGCCTGTCCTGGAACTCGTTCTTGTAGACCAGGCTGGCCTCGAACACACAGAGATCCGCCTGCCTCTGCCTCCTGAGTGCTGGGATTAAAGGCATGCGCCACCACCGCCCTGGCCTTGTTCTTTTTCAAATTAACGACCTTTCCCCCCTATTAATTGTTATCACATATATACTTGTGTATCTATTCTTAGGTGGGGTTTCTACTGCTGTGCTAGAACGCCATGAACAAAAGCACCTTGGGGAGGAAAGAGCTTGTTTCAGTTTCCATCTTTTAAGTCCATCATCCAGGAGAGTCAGGGAGGAGCCCAAGCTAGAAAACTGGAGCTGGGAAGCTGACGCAGAGGCCATGGAGGGTGCTGCTTACTGGCTTGCTCTCCATGGTCTGGTCAGCCTGCTTTCTTCTGAATCCAGATGGCACCGACCCGTGGGGTAGGCCCTCCTAGATCCATCATTAATCAAGAAAATGTACTCACTACAGGCTTGGCTACAGGTTAATGGTATGGAGGTAATGTCTCAATTAAAATTCCCTCTCCGCAGACACGTCTGTCTAGGTTTGTGTTGATAAAAACGCACTAGGACAGTTAGAGTAAACAAATGGAGATTTTGTTTGTTCTTTGGAGTCTCGTGCTTTATTTAGACAGTCTTAAGAGCGAAGCTTGAATCTGCTTAAAACGTGTTCCTTTCTACAGTCTACTTTAGGCAAAAATGATGCTGCTTTTCTCTCTTAGATTCTCGGATCCTCAGATTGCTCCATGTTTGGATCACATACACACCAAGAGTAATGAGTGGGCAGAGGCTTTGAATAGCTATTCATAAAAGTTGACTTCTCAGTGCATTTGTTGTGAGGAGGATCCAGCTCCGGCTGGTGTCCGGGGAACCAATGAGGCTCTTGCTTAAATCCTAAGGAAAGGAAAGAAAAATAGGTACACAGTCAACAAGGAATTTTAGTAACAGAGCTCCCAAGTATTTTTGAGTCCTGTCAAAGTGGAAACAAGAGAAATTGTTCACTTATGTACACATTCAGTTTACTTTTGAGTCCCTTCTATCTGCCAGGATCTAAGCTGGATGAAGAGTTGAGAATTAGTAAGATGAGTCCACCTACTATGGGCTGACTGTGGCTTTTTGCTGTTGTAACTTGCATCATACGTTGATTCAAGGTAGTGTCCAAACTAGAAAGAAAAAGCAATAGATTAGGAATACAGTTGGGCGGCGGTGGTGCACTCCTTTAATCACAGCAGTTGGGAGGCAGAGGCAGGCGGATCTCTATGAGTTTGAGGCCAGCCTGGTCTACAGAGCAAGTTCCAGGACAGCCAGGGCTACACACAGAGAAATCCTGTCAAAAAAAGAAAGGAAGGAAGGAAGGAAGGAAGGAAGAAAGGAAGGAAGGAAGGAAGGAAGAATCTAGTAGTTGGGGCTGGAGAGCTGACTCCGTGCTTAAGAGCAGAGGCTGTTTTCCCAGAGGACCTGGGTTCCATTCCCAGCATCTACATGGCAGTTCACAACTGTCTGTAATTCCAGTTCCAGAGGATCTAGCACCCTCATACATACAGGCAGGCAAAACACCAATGAACATAAAAACTAAGTAAATCTTCAAAAGAAGAATCACCATCATCGAGTAGTCTATAGCTAACATCAGAAGGGACAGTGCAGCATGACTTTAGTCACTCTGTCACTTGAGGTAGACTAGAGGTTCATCTGTGATTAGTTTGTCAGACTTTCTTATCCATTCATTACATAGGAGACTAAAGGGCAAGGCTTAGGTAAACAACAAGCCCAGAGGAGAAGATACCCTAAGTCAGAGACAGTCTGTTTTTCTGAAGACTAACAGGTGAAATCCAAACGAAGCAAGAGAAAAAGAGACCTACTCATCACTTGACAATTTATGGGTAATATTCAACTTGATACTGAAGTGGATTCGGTGGTCCAGCCGAAGGCTGAGCTCTCAGAATACTGGACATAAATCTCTCCCATGGCAGCTGGCATTCCTTCTAACAGAAAGTCACCAAAGAACAGAAAGTTATGTTACCTGGGAGGGCAAGGGTTTGGGTTTTACAATATTCTTTAGGTCGTATCTTTCCTGGTTCCAGTTGCCTATCAGAGTACGATTTGAATATGAGTTCTCATTAGTGCTGCATCTCCACCCGTACTGAAAAAACTTGGACATGCTGTTCCAATCTGTCCACACTTCGCCATGACCATCAGCGTAAATAAGGCTGCCATAGTGTGGGTTTCTGAGGAAGCAGACAAGGTTCTGTCTCTGGAAAAACGAAGAACATAAAAGCTTACTAAACAACCAGAGAGCAGAGAACACATTCATTTCTATCTCTGCTTTACAGGGCAAAGTGCTAACATAAGCACACCTTATTAACACTCTAGGCTTTTGTCCAAATGCAATTGATAAGGGTTTGATTCTTCTTCTTCAGGTGAATGTACTCATTGACCTAGCATGTCAATCACCAGTAGTAGGTAGATGACTGACTACAAATGCCACCGTCCCACAAAAAGCCTTTTTAGCATCCCCCACACCACGTGAGCAAAGAGCTAAACAGGCTTTAAAATGTATCTATTTTCTTTCACATGAGTTGGTGTTTTGTCTGCATGTATATCTGTATGGGATATCGGATGCCCTAGAACTGGAGTTACAGACAGCTGTGAACTGCCATATGGGTGTTGGGAATTGAACCCGGGTCTTCTGGATGAGTCATCTTAACCTCTGAGTCATCTCTCCAGCCCTGAGCTAAATGTTTGAGTGATTTCAAGATGTAAGAGTTGAGGGTCTAAAGGTATTGCTACGGAGAGAATCAGAGGTGAAACGCTGAATAGCCAGATAACACAATAAATGATTAACAACTCCCTCTTCCAGATCGGCTCAAGTAAGATAACTTTCCTTTGACCCACACAGAAGTTCTCTTCCCGCTGTTCGCTTTATACCTTTCCGTGATAAGTTCAAGAACATGTAACATTTATCTGCTCAACCCCACACCTGTTAAGAACAGGATCTGAATTTTGTTCATTGTTGTATATATCCTCCCAACCAATAGCCACCATCCCAAACAATAGTTCTTTGCACATACCAGAAGGAAAATGTCTAAGTTTTTGGCAAGTAATCAAAAGCCCAGCCGGGCGGTGGTGGCGCACGCCTTTAATCCCAGCACTCTGGAGGCAGAGGCAGGCAGATCTCTGTGAGTTCGAGATCAGCCTGGTCTACAAGAGCTAGTTCCAGGACAGGCTCCAAAACCACAGAGAAACCCTGTCTCGAAAAGACCAAAAAAAAAAAAAATTCAAAAGCCCAGCTTTTTTTTTTGTTGTTGTTACAAAATAAGCCTGGTCCCTGGGCTAAGGAGCAAGACAATACCTGTATTATTGTTGTGTAACTTGATGGTGAATACAATGACTTGTTTGAGTATCTCAGAGAGAAACAGTAATCCTTACACAGCTGTTCCATGTTTTCCAATCCAGATCTTTCAGCTCTCCAAACAAAGGAATACAGATCACCATGGACACATGGTCATGGCTTGAGAGACACAACCCAACTGCCTCTTCACAGGCAGGCAAAGCTAAGAGTGTAGCAATGAAGGGTGGGATTGGAGGTGACTGCCCTCACATCATCTACCTTTGTGAAGATAGCTGCATGCATGTGCTGATGTCACCAAGCAGCATGCTGGCTTGGGTAGGTGGACCCAGGAAGCCCAGTGTGTCCAGTGTTTAGAGACGAGGCTGGCCTGAGAACTAGAATAACAGACATCTCAGTTGTCTGAGGCAGAAAGCCAAGGCTGATTTTTGACTTTCCTTTAGGCGTTCGGTCAGTCAGTCACGACATCTTGCTGTTTCTCAATCAGTCTACTGCTTTTCTTCTTCACCATCCCTTTCCAGGAAGATGGCTTCCTTTTGTCCCCTTGGCAGCAAGCAGCTTCTTTTCTGACTTCCTTGTCATCAACCTTGTTCTTGTCTAAGCGATCCCCATAGGAAAGCAGTTTTTGAAAACAAAACAAAATGGGCAATGTCTTCCTATTTTAAATCTCTTCGTAGCTTCTGTTGTTGTTAGAACACCTGAATTTTTGACTCCAACGTTACTAACGTTACCTAGGCCATTTTTTTTATTTTTATTTATTTATTAAAGATTTCTGCCTCCTCCCCACCACCGCTTCCCATTTCCCTCCCCCTCCCCCAATCAAGTCCCCCTCCCTCGTCAGCCCGAAGAGCAATCAGGGTTCCCTGTCCTGTGGGAAGTCCAAGGACCACCCACTTCCATCCAGGTCTAGTAAGATGAGCATCCAAACTGCCTAGGCTCCCCCAAAGCCAGTATGTGCAGTAGGATCAAAAACCCATTGCCATTGTTCTTGAGTTCTCAGTAGTCCTCATTGTCTGCTATGTTCAGCGAGTCCGGTTTTATCCCATGCTTTTTCAGACCCAGGCCACCTAGGCCATTTTTGATGAAGGAAGCTGTGGCATCTGTCACAATCAAGCAACAGGTGATAGCACCCGTCAGTTCCCCAGAGAGGGCGCTCTAGGGGATATCTGAATGCACTGACTGGGGTCTCTGCTCAGACTTGCAGGGACCACTCATGACAGCTTTTAGTCTCCAGGTCACTTTCCCCTATGCTTCTTTGCAAATTCTTCAAGCATCCTTCCAGATTTTTTTTTTTTTTTTGAGACAGGGTTTCTCTGTAGTTTTCTGAGCCTGTCCCGGAACTAGCTCTTGAAGACCAGGTTGGCCTCGAACTCACAGAGATCCGCCTGCCTCTGTGTCCCAAGTACTGGGATTAAAGGCATGCACCACCACCACCCGGCTCCAGAATTTTTTTTTCTTATGATCCTTAGAGTGTTCTTTAGCTAGGTCAGCCCAGGGTGGGTGCTTGAGTTGGGGATCCTTCACCAGTGCTATGAGGGAATGGATTACTTCAAGGCTGTTTTGCAGTTCTCCACTAATCACATGCAGACATGCCTGTCCCATCAAAGTTAGGGTGATAGGCCTTCGTTTTAAATGTAATTTTGGGTGGAAAGTTGCTTATTCTGGAGGCTGCTTTATCAGGCAGATTGCCAAGAACAACAAGCCCTAGTCGAATCTATAAATTAACTTCATCAAGCTCGGTGTTATAAAAGTTTTCATTTCACATTCTGAGACCTCTTCAAGTTCTTTATGAGCCTCCTGCTGTCTGACACACTGGATTTCTAGTGGCTTTCTATATTCTCAGAATAAGGTTTAGGCTGTTATGGTTCCAACACTCCATATGACCTGGCCAGCTTTGAACTCGTCAGTGTCACCTGTTACACATGCTCCTACCGTGTTTGAACAATCAAATGTAACCGCTGTTTTTTTTTATTATGCTTTTGTAAACATTGCTTCTTCTGACTCTAATCCTTTTCACTTAGAAGCAGTGAACACCCGCCCCCGCCTCCCATTAGCTTTCAACACAGGCTTACAGGCACAGGGAATCTATTCCTCCTTTCCCCAACTTGGTAGTGTTCCCCCTTTGTGTGCTTCAGTAGGGATCTGAATGCCTTCACTCATCGTGGGTCCACACACCATTGTATTAGAGTTGTCTCTTTTGCGGTGTGCATTTGTTATCAGACAGTGGACAGTAGACAGGCCACTTCTAGTACACCCAAATACTTAACTTGCTCTCACAGTGCCCTGGAACAAAACAGACACTCAATGTGTTTTTTGTTTTTCTTGGAAATAGGATATACAAGCACCTCGAGAAATGTTGAGCAGCAGCTGAGAGACCAGGAGCTAGTCATTCAGGAGATGGTGCAGGTACAAAAAAAATCCTGTGCCGCTGAAACACTCAGGATTCACCTCGCCCCTCAGAGACTGGCTGTTTGTGACCTCAAGCGGGTGTGACGAAAACCCTCAGGTCAGTCCCAGTACTGAAATGCAAACGAGCCTTCCGAGGTGCACGAAGGTGATGGGGCAAGGCCGATAGCTCCATTGCTCTCTGAGGCTTGCTGCTGTCTGGTATTGGCACTGTTTAAACAACCACACGCTGTTGATGCGTCATTAACTAGTGCCGGGCGGAGAAGGGAGGAGGGGGGAGAGCCGAGGCCGATGCGAAGGAAGTGACGCAAAATGTGCTGCGCTCCAGAGAGCGCCGGCAGGGAGCCAGAGGAGACCATGGTTCCTCGGCGCCTCCTGTTGGTAGGGGAAGGGAATTTCTCCTTCACCGCGTCTCTAATCGACACCCTGGATCCCGGCGTCAGTGTTACCGCTACCTGCCTCCAACACCCGGACGATCTGAACGGGGATCCGGTGACCCAGGAGAACCTACAACGCCTGCGCGAGCGAGGTAGCGGGTCCCACCCCTCCGCCAGGCCCCGCCCAGGGCGTGGGGGTGTGGCTTGCTTGGGGAGTGTGAGTGCGCCTCCTGGAGGCGCTCACGTGAAAGTGCTGCGTGCCCATGCCTGGGCTGGATTGGGGTTCTGTGTTTGTCTGGGTTACAGATCTTAAGATGTCTTTTGGTTTGCATTTCAACTTTCTTTGCCAGGTATCGAAGTTCGTTTTGGTGTGGATTGCACCCAGCTGGCATATACCTTGCAGGCACACGACAGAGACTTTGATCGAATTTATTTCAACTTTCCGCACTGTGGACGAAAAGCGGGAGTAGCTAAGAACAGGGAATTGCTTGCCAAGTTTTTCCAGAGGTAAGGAAAGACGAGTCCTCGGATGCGAAATGTTTCCAGATGTCCATAACCAAGTTACCACACACAAACTTTGTAGTTGGGGACATAAGACAAGACACGTGTTTAAATTGCTAGGATATACGTGGAAGGAAGGAAAACCCAGAGGAAACCACAATCTTGTCTTAAAGTGGGTCATATAACCCTAGATGTAAAAGCTCAAATCGGCCTTAGGAGGAAAAAGACAAAATTATTTTTAAAAATTTAATTAGTGTCTGTCTGTATGTGTGTAATGTACGGGTGTGGAGGTCCGACGACATCTTAAAGGAGTCGGTTCTCCTTCCACTGTGAATCCGGGGGATAGAATTTAGGCTGTCATGCTTGGTGGCAAGTATCATTACCCACTGGTCCATCTTGATCGCTCCAAATTGTTTGTTTAAAAAATATTTTAGCGGGGTGGTGGTGGCACACACCTTTAATCCCAGCACTCGGGAGGCAGAGACAGGTGGATCTCTGTGAGTTCGGGGCTACAAGAGCTTGTTCCAGGACAGGCTCCAAAGCTACAGAGAAACCCTGTCTCGAAAAACCAAAATAAAATAAATGTATATATAAAGGTGCTTTGTGGGCATGTTTGTCTATGCATCATGAGTGTGCCTGATTCTCAGGGAGGCCAGAGAGGGCATTGGGTCCCCGGGACTGGAGTTACTGATAGGTGTTGCTATCATGAGTGCTGGCAATTGAGCTCTGAACAACCAGTGCTCTTAAGCTGCCAGATCCTCTCTCCAGCTCACCCCCAGAATGTCTTTAAATGAAAAATAGTAAGAGCCAGTATAGTTTGATGACGAAGAGCATGGATTTAAGAGCCACATGGCCTGGGTTCAAGTGCTGGCTCACCCCTTACTAACTAAAACTGTAGGTAAGTTTAGGCATCACCTACTTCTTTTTCTGCACCTATGAACTGGGGCTACTGTAGTAGCTGCTTCTTACAATGATTATGGCTTTACCATAGTGCTTTACACCAGTACACTGCACTGACGGTGTTGGAGGCTCCACTGGCCTATAGGTCTGAGAAACCTTTAGCAAAGGCGGCGTTTCAAATTCGGCAGTTGAAGTATAGATGTGTGTGCATGGTGATTATCAAAGCCAGGGCCTTATGCACGGTGATGTAGTGCTCAACCCAGCCCTCAACTATAAGAGGTTTTCCTAATGGGGAGAAACAACGCAGAGTGAATTATCTGTGGGAGCCTTCTGGACACTGATGTTTCTGTGACATACAGGAAAGCAACACAAATGCAAAGATAGACCTCTGCAAGTAAGGTGAATTTTAATTATTTCAGAGCTAACCCATGTGCACATTGCTGATTCCTTTGGTGGTTTCTGATACATTTCTGGTGTTTGTCCTCTATAAGCTGTGCTGATGTTCTTGCGAAGGAAGGGGAAGTCCACGTGGCCCTGTGTAGAGGACAAGGTGGAACTCCTGCCGATGAGCCTCAGAGAGAGTGGCACAACAGTTGGCAAGTGGTTGCCATGGCAGCCCTGGGAGGGTTCATTTTAAGCGATGTGCATCCCTTCAGCTGTGAGGCCGTGCCAGGATACAAGTGCACTGGGTATAGGTAAGTAATACCGTAGTCCTAAACCTTCTTCCATCTCTTGCATAAAGTCATTAAAAAAAAATCAAAAGCAGACTTTTTTCTTTCTAATTTCCTGATTTAGTTTCAAGAATACTTTTCACACACACACACACTTATACGCATATGTTTAATTTTAACTAAAATGTAAATAAATAATATTTAATTTAAAGAAGCTGTTTGTTCATTTATTTGGCAGGAGTCAGGCTAAGTCATTTCACGTGGAAGGCGCTTTGAACCATATCTTCACCCAGAGCTCTCCCTTCGAAGGCTCTCAGCCCAGAACATTCAGGGTCAAACTGGAAGACCAGTGGCTTTCCTTTACAGAGCCAGAGGCACTTGCAGGAAAGTTGAACAGGTAATCTTTTATTTTGCTGGAAATCATTTCTGTCCCTACTTGTGCCATGATCGTGTTAATGGTCACCACCTTTTGAGTGGATGATACATGAACTGTTAACGATGGTGCCATGGTTGCTTGCCAGGCTGATAGAGTGTAGGGCTGGTGGCAGACGTCTAGACCATATGCTAACTCTCCAGGCCTGGGAGTAGCTTGCCTAGCATGCACCAGGCCAGAATTGGCTCCCATCCCTGAAAATAAATAAATAAATAAATAAAATATAAATAGATAAAAAGCCCCAAACCAAACCAAAAGATGTACATGCTATCTCAAAAAAAGTATATGCTATTTCACTATATGACAAATGAGTTATTTTCAGGATTGGTTTAAGGATGATTGCATTCTACATAAGAACAAATGATTTTAATTCCAGCAATTATAACTGTTATTATAAGTGAAAAATTATTTTGTGTGTTTAAACAGGCGGTTCCTTGAAGCATCTTCCTGTCATCCTATCAGAACCATCAACGAGAAGCTCATTGCTGAATTGAGCAAACACTTTCCTTTAAGAAGACTGAAGTGTTCCTTCCCTTTATTGTCACAGGGAGGCACCAGTATCCTCCCTCCTGGGACCTGCGACCCGTCTGCCTTTTGGATTAGTCTCTGTGAAGATAACTCTTATTCTGAGTCCCTGACTGCTGAAATAACACAGGAAATGGAAGACGTTCTCCTATTGTTTTCAGAATGTGCCCTTCCCAAGAGTCCTGGGCGGGATGACTGCAGAGCAGCTCAGGAGGGTCTCTGTGAACAGGCTAAGCTCTGTCTTAGACCTTCTCTTCTAGTTCACGCTGAAGCTGTCATCCAGTCACCAGACTTCCTCCCAGGGCCCCTGCACATCCTCAGTGGGCCTGTCTATCGGAAGTGCCATATTTCACCGTTCACAATGCCAGCATTTCATGAGACTTTGCTTATCCTTGGGTTAAATAAAAACGAGAAGGATAGCCGCCTGGCATCACTGCTGGATCACCTGAAGGATATTCTAGATAATCTTCTGACTCAGACGTTGCTGGAGGGCTCCAGTTTGAGCCCTTCAGTGGAATTTGTCCTTCAACCAAATGGAAAGGATTATGTAATTCATGTGAAATCTCTTCATTTTGGCCCAGATTGTACTGAGAATCTGATTATTGGGACTGTGGTCACATCTATAATTGTTTCACATAAACAACAGTGTTTTGTGTGTGTTTCTCTAAACTTGGACTTGTTAGCCATGCTTGTTTATGATATTTCCGATTGGAGACTGTTGTGGACTTTTGATAACCGTTTCCTGAAAAGATTTGCCCCTGGAAAAACAGAGCGCTTTAAAAGCTATTCCCTGTATCCTCCACGCTACGTGCATGATATTAGTTTTTGGTTAGACAAGAAGAAAGGATTTGCTGACCTAGAGTTCCACACCGTGGCCCGAGCAGTGTCCCAGGACACTGTTATCTCCATACAGTTCCTTGGCCGTTTTCAGCATCCGGAGACTGAACAGGTCAGCCTCTGCTATAGATTGATCTATCAGGCTTGTGACAGGGCGCTCAGCCCACAGCTGGCAGCAGCAATGCAGTCCCGGTTCAGAAAAGAGATTCAAAGACAGCTCCATGTTTCGCTTCGATAGCTTAGTAAGGTCCTTTCTACAGCAGGGACCCTCACCGTATGTTGTATGTGGTTGGAAAAGAACAACTTGAAGCTGTTGCTCCTTTCTGGAATCTGTGGATTTTTGTTGTTTTTGTTTTTTGGTATGTGTTGTATGTAAGATTTGTGTGTGTGTGTGACCAAAGTAGTGTTCATGAACCCTAAAGATGTCTGTGAACATCATTTAAACCTACAGCCTGGCTAGGTGTAGTGGTGGTGGTGATGGTACTGGTCCTGGTGGAGGTGGTGGAAGTGGTGGTGCTGGTGCTGATGGTGGTGGTGCTGATGGTGGTGGTGCTGGTGCTGATGGTGCTGGTGCTGATGGTGGTGGTGCTGATGGTAGTGGTGCTGGTGCTGATGGTGATGGTGCTGGTGCTGATGGTGGTGATGCTGATGGTGGTGGTGCTGATGGTGGTGGTGGTGGTGCTGATGGTGGTGGTGCTGGTGCTGATGGTGGTGGTGCTGATGGTGGTGGTGCTGGTGCTGATGGTGGTGGTGCTGATGGTGGTGGTGCTGGTGCTGATGGTGGTGGTGCTGATGGTGGTGGTGCTGGTGCTGATGGTGCTGGTGCTGATGGTGGTGGTGGTGATGGTGGTGGTGCTGATGGTGGTGGTGCTGGTGCTGATGGTGGTGGTGCTGGTGCTGATGGTGGTGGTGCTGGTGGTGCTGGTGCTTCGTTCTGCTGAGCCTAGTCCTCAAAAGGCAGAGGCAGGCAGAGGTCTGTGTTTGAGGCCAGCCCAGGCTATATAGTGAGGTCCTTTTCCTAAGAACCAAACCAAGCTAAACTAAAAACAAACAAAAATACCCTTACAGACTAATGTGACTGGTGACCTTGTAGTTCAGTTTTTTGATCCTGAGTAATGATTGAAGCACAAACAAAACAAGCATATGTACTTCACTGTGCTTTTGCTGAAGAGGCTGTAGTCTGGATGTCTCACCACACGTTTTGTAAATATATTTCCCACACTCTCAGTTCCTCTGTATCATCTCACGGAGTTTATGAGTCTCACTGCGTGTGTTACACATGTGGGCTCGATCATCCCTTACACTGCTGCTTCTATCATTGACTGTCGAATTCATGTAACTCAAGTCTCAGAGCTGGGCTTGTCATTTGGGTCTGTCTGCCTTACTTCCCTTTTCAGGAAAGGAATGGGGTACATATGAGTTCTACTGAAGCTGGATGTTAGGGCTTGGTAACTAATGACTGTGTATGGGAACTGATCCATAGGATCAACCTCTATTTTTATTATTCTTATTTGGATTTTCAAGACAGGGTTTCTCTGTGTAATAGCCCTGGCAGTCCTGAAACTTGGTCTGTAGACCAAGCTGGTTTCAACTCACAGAGATACCTCTGGCTCTGCCTCCGGAGAGCTGCGATTAAAGGCATGTGCCATCACCGGCCAACTTCTTTTTCGGTTTCTCTCTCTCTCTCTCTCTCTCTCTCTCTCCTCCCCCTCCCTCCCTCTCTCTCTCCCTCCCTCCCTTTCCTTCCCTCCTTATTTACAAGTGTCTTTGTAAATAAATACCTCTGAAACCAAGAAGTCAGGACCCCTAGACTCCTTTAAAAACAACAAAACTCTCCTAAAAAGGGCTTTTGTTGATGTAGCGAGAATAGTATGTTTGTACTAGGTCCTCAATTGGAATATATTTCCATTTATAGCCAAGCAACTTTGGAGCTTGGCTTTATCAGTAAAAGCAAGGTGGCTGAGAGAATTAAAACCACGTCTGTGAAGTGCCTACCGCTGCGCTGTAGTAGCAACGCCACTGACAAATGCCTGGTTGAATATTTTGCGTAGGACTTCCTTGGACTCACTTCTCAAAATTCTGGCCTTACGGGTTTGTCTCTCCGGAGTTATTGGCTGCCTCCATTCCTCTCAACAAGACATAGCAAGGTGTGCGGTGCCCTTTAACGGAACACTTTATAGCATTGGCAAGTGTGGTGTGTTGAGAAATGGGGAGAAACACCCGGCGTTAGAAGTGGGAGGGCTAGCCCAGGCTGCTGATCCGCGCCTTCGCCCCAATTGGTCCAGTGACACAGTATTTTAGTCTTTTCTGCGCATGTCAAGGCTTTTTGTCCCTCGGCGGACACCGTTTCCTAGCCAAGCAATGTCTGCGCTCTCGCCGAAGTCTTAGCGTGCGGAGTTCTGCCCTTTCTCCGACGCTTGGCATGGCGAGCCGAAGGGCCCGGCAGCGCCTCAAAGGCGGCGGCGGCGGCGGCGGGGACACAGGCCCGGCGGCGGAGAAGCTGCGGGAGCTGCTGGGCAGCCGGGAGGCGGGCGGCGCGGAACAGCGGCCGGAGTGCGTGTGCGGCCGGAGGGCGTGGCGGGCGGGAGGTCGGGCGGCCGGGGGTCTCCGCAGCGAGCCGGGTTCGCCTGGCCACCTCCTCCTGCCCCTCTTGGGGGTGTCCGGGTTCGGGTAGATCCTCGCCCGTCCGCAGGTCCCTGCATTGTTGGAGCGAGGGTCTGCGATGCTTCAGGTTCAGGCCCACACTGAGCAGGCTTCCTGCTGGTATAGTTAGCCGAGCCTCTGTGGGAGCTGCGGGCTGGAGAGTGTACACCTTTTAGACCGCGCTGCCTCCCGCTCGATTCTCCCAGTAGCCCGTTTGCTGTTTTCTCCCCTTCTGCGGGCCTGCAACCCTCAAAAACACCAGCAAGCCTGTAGCCTGTATACAGGTCAGGGATGTAGTAAAGGAACTGTCTGCTGCACCTGCACTTTGTATTAGAGGCCTCTATTCGTTTAAAGGAGGGGGCGATAGATAGGCTTAACGAGGGATGACGTTAAGAAATGGGGAGGGAGCATTGTGGCCTTCAAGTGAGCAATTAATTGGCTTGAGGGGAAAGGGAGTGTTGCAGGTGAAATAGGCCAAGGTGTATGAAGTAGTGTATTCCCCAATAGCAGGAAGTGGAAGGTGGGATTGAAAACGCGTGACAAGCCGGTAGGTGGTGGCGCACGCCTTTAAAAAAAAAAAAAAGGAAAATGCATGACAAGCCCTTCTTTTAGGTGAATGGTTTATTGCATTGGCGCCTTTAGCCATTCTTGTCTAAATTTTCTGTCTGCCTTTAATCTTGCTAGCAGGCTTCCCGATACACTAATGGTTTTGCTTTTCCTTCCGGGCAGGTCTGGAAATAAAGCTGGGCAAGTCTGGGCTCCTGAAGGATCCACTGCTTTCAAGTGTCTGCTCTCAGCAAGATTGTGTGCCGCTCTCCTCAGCAACATCTCTGACTGTGATGAAACATTCAACTACTGGGAACCAGTAGGTGATCTCTTTAGCTGTTGTTTTTGTGTGTTTGGTTGTTTTTAGTTTCTGCAGTCCTAGGGATCTAACCCATGGTCTTGGGGGTGCTGGACAAATGCTTTACCACTAGACTACATCCTTAGCCTTCAGTTCTGGGATTTGGCTTGTGATCTTGATTTGGTACTTAGGACTAATTAACAAACAAGTAAAATGCAAGTGTGAAAATACTAAAATAAACTATCTTCACTTTTATAGCCTAAAATCTATTGATTTGGGGCTAGAGAGTGGCTCCGTGGTTAAGAGCACTTGCTCAGTCATGAGAATTATAGTTCAAATTCCAGCAGTTCAAATTTAGGTGAATCCAGCTCCAAATCATGACAGCAGTATGGTGGTGCATGCCTTTAATCACAGCGCTCTGGAAACTGAGGCAGGAGGATCTCTTATGAGTTAAAGGCCAGTCTTGTCTCCAGAGCAAATTCCAGGACAGCAGGGGGGCTACCTAAAGAGACCCCGTCTCAATCAATCAATTATTCTCTGATATCTGATCAGATCTGATCTTTGATCTCATGCCCTCTTCTGGTACACATAGCACACAGGTACATGCATGCACTCATACATAAATAAAACAGGTCTTTTAAAATAGTCCAAACTGTTGGTTTAGTTACTGTTGAAGCCTGTGGCCTTTAGCTGACATACTCAAAGGTAAGACTTAATAATCTTTTAAATGGTTTATAAGTCTAAGTAATACTTGTAGATCCAGGTTTTAAAGCTAACAGTTACTACAAAACTTGAGTAAAGTACAGTTATCCATTCTCATCCTGTCCAGATCCCACTTCTTAGAGGAAAACTATATTCTTCCAACTTTTTACATTTATTTCTTCTGATATTTGCCAAAATAATTGTGGGGGCTTGTTTTTTGTCAGCTTGACACAAGCAAGAGTCATTAGAAAAGGATGGATCCTCCGTTGAGAAAATGCCTCCATAAAACTGGGATATAGGCAGGCCTCTAGGACATTTTCTTAATTAGTGGTTGATGGAGAGGGCCCAGCCCTTTGTAGGTGCTGCCATCCCTGCACTGGTGGTTCTGGGGGCTATAAGAAAGCAGGCTGAGCAAACCATGGAGAGCAAGCCAGTAAGCAGCACCCCTCCGTGGCCTCTGCATCATCAGCCCCTGTCTCCAGGTTCCTGCCCTGTGTGAGTTCCTGCCCACATTGTTTTTGATGATGAATTGCTATATGGAAGTGTGAGTATCCTTCTGTTGGTTTGTCCTGTCCAACTTTCGATGGGGTAGTTTTTGTTTTATTATATATTTTTTTTATATTTTTAAGACAAATGAGTGAATGAATGAAAACCTAGTCACTAGGGTAAAGACTAACAACTAAACTGTCATTTAGACTTGCTGAGAGGGAAATCTATTTCCTCCAATAGACTGACACAGACTCTCATCCATTCCAGGACACCTCATGTTCAGGTGTACTTGACCAATAGAGAATCTGACTCCACAGGTTTCTTTGTTGTTGTTTTGTGTGTGCGTGTTACTAATAGTGCATGCATAATATTTCTGATTTATATGTTTATGTATTGTTTGTTTACTTTCTAGTATAAAAAATTTGGAAGTACCTTTACCTAAACACATTTGTATCAAAAACCAGAGGGAAGATGCTTACTTGGTGTATGTAAGGAAAACAAAAGACTTAGAGTTTTTCTGTTTAAGTTAAACTTTTTTTTTATTTTTATTTTTTTGTTTTTTGAAGCAGTATTTCTCATGTAACAGCTCTGGCTGTCCTGGAACTAGCTCTTGTAGACCAAGCTGGCCTCGAACTCACAAAGATCCACCTGTCTCTGCCTCCCAATTGCTGGGATTAAAGGCCTGCACCACCACTGCCCGGCATTAAACACTATTTTAAGAAAAAACAGTAAAATTTTTAGTTTAATTTAAAAATATGAGGTCATTTGGTTATTTTCTTGCTCATTAGTTACAAATGTTAATTCTCAACATTTTGTGTCTGACAGTTTTGACGGGACTCTTCACCTGTGAGCCCGTGAGGGGCTCTGCTAGTACAGCCCTGAGCACATCTGTTTCTGCTTTCAGACACACTACCTCATCTATGGGAAGGGATTTCAGACGTGGGAGTATTCCCCAGTGTACGCCATTCGCTCGTATGCTTACCTGTTGCTGCATGCCTGGCCAGCTGCATTTCATGCACGGATTCTGCAGACTAATAAGGTAAGGGCGGCTAGCCTGATCGCAATCACGTCCGTCAACAGGCGAGTCTGGGAGCAGTTTTGAAAAGAGAACAAAACCCATTGACGATTAAGAGGCTGATTTGTTTCTTTTTCTCTTCTTCTTTTTGTTTTTCTTCTTGGAGAAGGAGTCTTGGTGTGTTTCATAGACTAGTCTGGAACTTTTGGACTCCTGCTTTCCCCCCTCATTTCCCAAGTTCCTGTGTCTGTAGGCCTGGACTGTCAGACTACGGGTGTGCGAGCCGTGTGCAGGTTAGAGGACAGTCTTTTGGATTCAGTTCTCTCCTTCTACTGTAGATGTCTTGGATCACACGCAGGTGTCAGACTTGTGCAACAAGCCCTTCAACCTGCTGAGCCACCTCCCGGCCTCACCATCCAACACACACTAATCGAGCAGCCTTTATGTAGTATAGATTATGTTAAGTGATAGAACAGTGACCCAACTGAGTCTGCCTTCATGGAACTTACAGTTCATGGGAGAAGAGAAACATTAAATAATTCAAAATGTAGATTTATGGGAGAAAAGTACAAGGCGTGATGGGGTAGCATATTAAGAGAGTCTAATTTAAGTAGGGTGCTTAAGAGTTAGCTGCATTGGCTTAGGGTTAAAAATTTTGACAGTACATGTTTTGGTGTGTTTTTTTTTTGTTTGTTTGTTTACTCCTTGAATATCTAGGCTTATGTTTTTTGCCAAATTTGGGAAGAGGTGTGTGTGTGTGTGTGTCTGCAGATCTGAGGGGCCTTTGTAAGCACGTTGTGTGTGTGTGTGTGCAGATCTGAGGGGCCTGTGCAAGCACGTGTGTGTGTGCAGATCTGAGGGGCCTGTGTAAGCACGTGTGTGTGTGTGTGTGTGTGTGTGTGTGCAGATCTGAGGGGCCTGTGTAAGCACATGTGTGTGTGTGTGTGTGTGTGTGCAGATCTGAGGGGCCTGTGTAAGCACGTGTGTGTGTGTGTGTGTGTGTGTGTGTGCAGATCTGAGGGGCCTGTGTAAGCACATGTGTGTGTGTGTGTGTGTGTGTGCGCAGATCTGAGGGGCCTGTGTAAGCACGTGTGTGTGTGTGTGTGTGTGTGTGCAGATCTGAGGGGCCTGTGCAAGCACGTGTGTGTGCAGATCTGAGGGGCCTGTGTAAGCACGTGTGTGTGTGTGTGTGTGTGTGTGTGCAGATCTGAGGGGCCTGTGTAAGCACGTGTGTGTGTATGTGTGTGTGTGTGTGCAGATCTGAGGGGCCTGTGCAAGCACGTGTGTGTGTGCAGATCTGAGGGGCCTGTGTAAGCACGTGTGTGTGTGTGTGTGTGTGCAGATCTGAGGGGCCTGTGTAAGCACATGTGTGTGTGTGTGTGTGTGTGTGTGTGCAGATCTGAGGGGCCTGTGTAAGCACGTGTGTGTGTGTGTGTGTGTGCAGATCTGAGGGGCCTGTGTAAGCACGTGTGTGTGTGTGTGTGTGTGTGTGTGTGTGCGTGCAGATCTGAGGGGCCTGTGGAAGCGTGTGTGTGTGTGTGTGTGTGTGTGTGTCTGCAGATCTGAGGGGCCTGTGTAAGCACATGTGCCTGTGCACAGCACGGAGGCCAGAAGAGATACCAGCTGTCTTCCTCCATCGCTCTCCACTTTATTCCCTTGAGACAGGGCCTCTCACTAAACCTGAAACTCTCCATTTTGCCTAGGAGATGACCGGTAAGCTCTTAGGAGCCGCCTGTCTCTGCCTCCTGATGCGGTTACAAAAGCACATGGCCATCCATGCCTGGCTTTCACATGGCTACCAAGTTTGAGTTCAGCTCTTCATGCTTGTATAACATGCACTCCCAGTTGTGGAGCCATGTCCCATTGTGTGTGTGTGTGTGTGTGTGTGTGTGTGTGCATGTGGTGTCCAGAGGTGTCAGAACCCGTAAAGTTGTAGTTGTAGCTGCAGGTGGCTCAGCTGCCTGACATGGACTGGAACGCCAGTCCTCTGGACTAGCAACACATACTCCTAACTGCTGAGCCATCTCTCTAGCCCTGGGAGCAGTCTTTGTAACTGAGGGTCTAAGGATTATTTCTCATATAAATTAGTTTGATTTATGGAGCGTGGTGGGAAGGATTAAATGAGACTGAGAAATAAGAAGAGGCCAGCTTTGTGTAAGATCTGATAGGATCTATTAGGAGATACTAGTGGTGTTTTGGTTTGTTTGTTTGTTTGTTTTTGTTGAAAAGCTTTTGAGGAGAGTCGTGGTTACAGTTGCATTTCACAGTGATCAGAGAGACAGCACACACAGAAAGTGGCAGGACACTCTGTCTTCCTTTCCTGCCAAGTATCTCATTTCTGGCTTTTTAGGCTTTCTTGTGCGTCTGAATTTGTTAGAGGAAAAATAAGATGGAGGACTCAGTAGAGAACCAGCAGCTTGCAGTGCTACATTTTCATTTCTACACACAGAACTTGATGTTTCCAGACTTCATCCTCTTCTGTCGCTTACCTTACATATGTGGTGTGAACAGCTCATGTTCCAGTTCACTCTGTTGCTGTGGTAAGAGCATTCAGATTAAAAGCAACTTGGCAGGAAGGGGTTATTTGGTTTATACTTCAGATCACAGTCTTCATCAAAGGAAGTCAGAGCAGGAGCTCAAACAAGAAGTTAAACAGCAGCACGGAGGAATGCTGCTTGCTGGCATGCTCCCTGGCCCTTAACCCTTTGGCTTTTTGTTTCCTTAGGCTAGGCTGGCCTTGAACTCTCAAAGATGCGACTATCTCTGCCTCCCCAGTGCTAGGATTCAAGTATGTGTCACCACACCTTTCTAACCTGCTTTTTATTCAGCCCAGGTCTATTTGCTTTCCTAAACAGAGGAGGAGTGGATTGGGGGGGAGGGACTGGGAGGAGAGAAAGGAGGGGAAACTGTGGCTGAGATGTAAAATAAGTAAATTTATTTAAAAATAAGAAAGAATGGAAGAAAAAAATATGTGAGCCTCCTCAACTAGCTGCTATTAGATTTCCTCTTTTTCCCTCTGGTCTGTAGACATTCATGTTCCTTCATGACATTGGATGTGGGTTCATTTTGTTTCAAGTGCCAGCTTCTTGGCTGAAATCCTTACCTGTGATATAGTCAAGTCAGTTCTTCCCTTAGGGTCCTAGGTCTTTCTAAATGAAGACCTCCTTCATCCCACAGTAATAGTTATTCCATTATCTTGTTAGCTTTCTTTTTACCTGTCACTTACGAGACTTCTGTCATTGTCTCCCCCATCCCACCCCCTTTTATCCTGGTGGAATGTAATCGAGTTTGTATTTTGATCTTTATGCTGAATATCTCGGTGAATTTCCAGGCTGATGCCAGTGGTTTGTCAGCTGAATCTCCTGGGTTGTTTTTCACTTGGGTTTATGTCCTTATCGATTTTATGTTGCTATTGTAAAGTACCCGAGGCTGGGTAGGTCATAAAGGGAACAGACAGCTGGGGGTAGTGGCATAGCTTTAATCCCAGCACTTGGGAGGCAGTCGTGGGTGGATTGCAGTGAGTTTTGAGGCCAGCCTGATGTACATAGAGAGCAGAGAATTGAAATAATATAGAGTCAACATTCTGGCAAGGGTACCCTGGCTTTATCATTTGAAGGAGAAGCAGAAAGAAAGTAGGTGTATACCTGAGGCAAAGGCGGAGCAGCATGCTCACTCTGTGGCTGCCTGCTCTCAAGGGAGCTAATGCAGCCCCACGAGGACCTGCCCCTGCTGAGAGAGTAGTAATCTGTTCAGTGAGCAGAAGCCACTAAGCCTCCTTGCTGTCTACCAGGACTTGCTTCTTGTAAGTTCATTATCTTAATGTCACTTGCCCTGGAGACCAAGCTGCTAGTAATCAAATTCTTAGGGACAAACCATAACTATATGCTTTCTTTCTCTCATTCTGCCCCTTGGGCCTCATTTCTGTTTCCTTTTGCACTGACTGGGACTTTGAGTTACAGTGCTGATAGGGGAGCTGATGGCATCACTGTCCTGCTGCTGAACAGTATATGTCTGTGTGTGTGCATGAGAGCGCAGGTGTCTACAGGCCAGAAGAAAGTGTCAGATCTCCTAGACTTTCAAATACTCCATAGTGTGAGGAGTCCTTATCATAGACTCATCTCAAATTATCTATCCCTGTGACATCTGTACAGTTGCTTATCGTGTGGTATAGGATTTTTGTGTCTTATTAATGAATGAATCTGACTCTCATGGGCTCTTTCTAAAACTCATTTGGGAATTTGGTTGGTTGTAGTGATAAGCATGGGCACTGTTTCCATGCTGGCTACTTGCAGTTATTCTGCTGAGTAGGAAGCAGAGTTGTGCTGTGAGGATTCAGCACTCTTAACATACTCTGTATGCTCTGTAGTCTATCTAAAAGTTAATCAAGGGGCTGGAAAGGTGGCTCAGTGGCTTCAAAAGTGCTGGGTGCTCTTTCAGAGGACCTGCGTTCACTTCTCAGCACCCACATAGCAGTTGAAACCATCTATAACTGCAGCTCCAGGGGTCTGATGCCCTCTTCTGATCTCCTTGGGAGCACTACCTGAAAGTAGCTCATAGACATACGTGCAGGCAAAACACATGCGCATAAAATAAAAATAAGTAAATCTTAAGAGATAGTCATTACAACCCTTATTGCTGTTTTATTAAGCTTATGCAATTAATTATAGAATTGATTAATCCATAGTACAGATAGAAGTTAAACACCTTAATCCCAGTAGGCTGCCACATCTCCTCTTACCACTGTATATCTTTCCAGTCTTTCATATGCATGTGGTTTCCATAACTGTAATGCTGATGTATTTTGTAAATAATCAGTATTTAAATTTTTATGGCTGTTGAACAAGTGCTTCACAGCCAGTGAGGTGGCTCATATTTGCAGTCCAGCATCCAGAAGGCTGAGGCAAGAGAATACCTGTAAGTTTTAGGTCATCCTGAGATCCATAGTGAGTTCCAGGATAGCCTGAGCTACAGTGTAAGACCCTTAAAAGAGGAGAAGAGGAGCTGGAGAGATGGCTCAGCGGTTAAGAGCACTGGGTGCTCTTCCAGAGGTCCTGAGTTCAATTCCCAGTAAATGCATGGTGTCTCACAACCATCTGTCATGAGATCTGGTGCCCTCTTCTGGCCTGCAGCCAAACATGCAGGCAGAACACTGTATAATAATTAAATCAATCTTAGGGAGTAAAAATGGGGAGAGTAAGGGAGGAGAGGACTTGTTGAGTAAGCAACAAATGAGCAAGGTATCACAGGTTTCATCTTTGCAACCCCCGGTGTTTATACTCTCTGAAATAGATGTAGTAGCATGATCAGATGTATGCCTGCATCATTGGATATTTGGTAGTTTTTACAATAGATGCCTTTATGAATGGAGGCTCCCACCCCTCCTACAGTAAAGAAGTGGGTGCAGTGAGTCTGGGGATATGAAAATTTGTGTGGTTCTCTTCAGAAGTATTGTACCAGTTATAGTACAGTTTATTGACAAGTGAGGACTTTGTCCTCACAAGCGTCTAGGCTCCTGTTGCTGACTTCTGTTTTCTCACTCTGGCTTTCTTTCAGATTCTTGTCTTCTACTTTTTGAGATGTCTCCTGGCTTTTGTGAGCTGTATTTGTGAACTTTACTTTTATAAGTAAGTATCAAAACTTTGCATCCAAAAGCGTCAGGGGCCCTGCTATAGCTCAGACAGCTGTCAGAGAGCACTCTCCTCTGGTCCTCCAGCTGAAGGGCGACTTCTTGTCTGCAGAGGAATTGAGGAGCAGTGCCCCCAGCTGCCGTTCCCTTGGAGTGTCCCTGATTTTAATTTGTAGTGCATGTCTTGCTCATCTTCATAGGATTTAGTGAAACCTTAGTTTTGGTTCTAAGTGAAGGATTGATTGATTCACTTCTTCCCCAGAGCTGAGCCGATGGGAGACTTTTCCCAGTGTAAGACTCTGCTCTCGTTTGCACTCAGTACATGGCCTCACACCAAGCTCTCAGTTGATCGAATATTAATGAATCCATTATGCATTTAAGTATTCTAGCAATAAAATAGCTGCCTTTAAAAAATGTAACACATAAAACCCATTAAATTTAATAGTGCCTTAACACATTAAAAGAAAGTACTCAGACTTAAGGGTCATTATTAGAAGTTTTCCCACTGCTAGATGTGCCAGAGTAAAATTAATTTTTGTCCTTGACTCTGACAAGATTGGAGGTAAAAATAAAACCAGTACTCCCTCTGGGGATTGCAGCTATAAGTTGGTTTTCATGTGGATTTGGGCCTGAATTCAAATCAACCATCTCATCTCCTAAGACCCATGATGGAGATTTATGGTGAATTGTCCTAGATTAGTAGACGTCCCATGCATCACATAAAAAATTTCCCTAGAGAACTGGACTCTTAACCCAGATGTCAGGAAATCACCAGGACTCTGTTAGGACTGTAGTCTTAATACACAAGAAAGGGTGATGAAGTCAGGCTGCAAAGTGGCTTTGCAGCAGAGCGCGTGCCTCATATGCACAGGGTCTGGGTTTAGTTCCTGGGAGGGCGTGAGAAACAGAATAAAGAAGTCACACCAAAGTACCACACAGATCAGGGAAGTCACAAAAAGAGACAAGACATTGAAGAGCTAGCAGAAATCGCAGTCATCAGAAAGTTGGCCTGTAAGGCCGGGCGGTGGTGGCGCACGCCTTTAATCCCAGCACTCGGGAGGCAGAGGCAGGCGGATCTCTGGGAGTTGGAGGCCAGCCTGGTGTACAAGAGCTAGTTCCAGGACAGGAACCAAAAGCTACGGAGAAACCCTGTCTCGAAAATAAAAAAAAAAAAAAGTTGGCCTGTAAATCTTCATTTATTAGGAATTATTAAAATGAAAACAGTATTTTCTGTGTGTAGAGAAGTGAAAGAGAGAACTGAAAACATGAAGAGAAACAAGAACCTCCAGAAATGACCAGGCCGGTGTGAAAAATAGTAAGAACGTATAGAGACAAAAATGTAGTTATTTTATGTTGACTTTATATATATGCACATATAAACATATGTGTGTGTAATATCATTCATATAATTTGATATTTAAGACTCAGTAGATAGTCTAGACAGATTAAGATTGCTAATAAGTAAAGTAGTAAAATGAAGGATAAATTTGAAGAAATTGCTAGGAATAAAGTTAGATAAAAAAGGAATAGAGAGGAAGTTAATGTGTAAGGTTTCTAGCTCTGATACAGAGAACGGGAGGAGGCAACATTCAGGGAAGTGTAGCTCACAGTTTTTAGAGCTATTGGGAAAGGTTGGTAATCCATAAATTCAGTAAATCATGCATCTTAATCCAAGAATATAAAAAGAATTTAGTGAAATTGTGTAAAACACCAGAGATAAAGAACCAGTCTTAAAACTGGAGGAGGAGTTCATGGAGTCCCTGTAAGGGTGCTCTGAGCAGCGAGACCAGTGGCAGCAAGAGCAGGACCAGAGACGGAAGCCCTTACTTCATAGTTCCGAGAGAGCAGGACCAGAGACGGAAGCCCTTACTTCATAGTTCCGAGAGAGCAGGACCAGAGACGGAAGCCCTTACTTCATAGTTCCGAGAGAGCAGGACCAGAGACGGAAGCCCTTACTTCATAGTTCCGAGAGAGCAGGACCAGAGACGGAAGCCCTTACTTCATAGTTCCGAGAGAGCAGGACCAGAGACGGAAGCCCTTACTTCATAGTTCCGAGAGAGCAGGACCAGAGACGGAAGCCCTTACTTCATAGTTCCGAGAGAGCAGGCTGTGGGCTGGGGGGTGGAGTGCTTGAATACTCTCAGGGGCCTGGGGTCATCCCCAGCAGAACAAAATAAAGAATGCCCAGGCAAGTGCCAGCCTTGCAAAAGTGAACTAAGTTTAAGATCAAGAGGTAAGTACAGATTTCCAGTTAGAAAGAAAAGCAGCCGGGTGGTGGTGGCACACACCAGGAGAATCTTTGTGTGTTCAAGGTTAGCCTTGTCTACAAATCAAGTTTCAGGACAGCCAGGGCTGTTACACATAGAAACTCTGTGATTAAAAAACAAAAACAAAAACCACACACACACAAAGAAAACCCACCTATACAGAGAAATTTTTATTAATATGTTCTTACTGAAAGAACTTGTAAAAGATGTACTTTGGAAGGATCAAAACCTTTTCAGGAAGAAACATGAAATAAGCCCTAGTGAAGCCACGCCTACACATGGACAAATACTGACCAAGTCAACAGCAGTGCTGGGTCTGAGGGCCCACGCCTTCAGTCCAGCATCCAGGAAGCAGACACAGGCATGAGTTCGAGGCCAGTCTGGCCTACAGAGCGAGTTCCAGGGCAGACAGAGCTGTCATGTAGAGAAGCTCTGTATTGAAAAACAAACAAAATGAAAAAAATTTAATAGCAACACCTAAAAGGCATTAATTTGTGGAATTGGAAAAAAACAAAATAATCTAAATGTTGTAGAAGGACAGATGTAGTTTCCCAAGTCTGAAAAACATTGACATGGGTAAATTACGTGGCTTTTTATGTTGTTTTCTAGTCTTTTTTCCCCCTGAGAATTAACATTTATTTATGTTTTTAAGATATTTAAAGTTTATTCTTTGACACTTTCATGTATGTATACAGTATTTCTTGAGCATATCCACTCTAATTCTGCCCTACCATTTCCTCTAGTAGCTGCCTGTAATTAAATCCCCCTTTTATCTTTATGTCTTTTTTTTTTTTTTAAATAACCTCCTGAGCCGGGCAATGGTGGCTCCCTCTAATCCCTGCACTCAGGAGGCAGAGGCCGGTGGATCTCTAAATTCGAGGCCAAGGCCAGTCTGGTCTGCAAAGTCAGGCCTACTTACAGAAACCCTGTCTCAAAAAACAAAACAAAACAAAACAAAACAAAAAACCAACAACAACAACAAAAAACCTCCCACTGAGTTCAGTAAGTACTGCACACTTGCATATGGCTGTGGAACACTCATCTAGAACATGGACCACCTACCAGCTACATCCCCAAGAGAAATGACTCCCCTGCTAGTAGCCATCCATATGAATAGGTCCTCAGCTGTGGCTAGGGCCTCCTGAACCCCTCCCTCGTTCATGCTAGAATGTTGTTCCAGTCACCACAGCTTGCTGTGCGTGGCATGGTCATGTCCAGAAGACAGGTTTCATAGCACTCCTCCCATCCTCTGGCTCTTACATCCTTTCCCTCCACTCTTCAGTAATATTCCTTAAGCCTGCTGCTGCTGGTGGTGGTGGTGGTTTTATATAGCTGTCCTTTTAGAGCCGAGCATCAGTAGTCGCTTACTCTCATCACCTGGGCTCTCCATTAACCCCGACCACTGTAAATAGAGGCTTCTCTGCCCAAGGCTGAGTACAGTACTAATCCGTGGTTATAAACAAATGTTTAGGAAGGTTCTTTGAATTAATATGTATAGGTATTTTGATTGCATGTATGCGTGTGCACTTTGTATGTGCCTGGTGCCCTGAGAGGCCAAAAGAGGGTGCCAGGTCCTCAGGAACTGGAGTGACAGATGGTTGTAAGCCATGTGGGTGCTGGTAATTGAAAGCTGGTCCTGTGGAAGAGCAGCCAATGCTCTTAACTATTGGATAATCTCTCCAGCCCAGAAGGCACTTGACAACATGTCCATTTAGCAACACCAAACTAGTAGCTTACCCACTACAACCTCTGAGCTTCCCCAGCAGTGGGCTTTGAGCCAGGTTTACAGTATCAGGCATGAAGTCCTCCCGTGAAGGAGGACTCAGGTCCAGTCAGAAAGCAGCTGGTACCCCTAGCACTTTTGTCACTGTTGCACCTGTGGGCACATCTTGCCTGGCAGGTTTGTATTACAGCACATAGGGTCCACTGCTGGAGAAAGCCATTGATGATTTCTCCTTCAGTTGTCCAGAGAACCTTCTAGCACTATGAATGCTAGCCATCAGGGAGACAGTTTCAGGTTAGTTCTAGTTTAGTTTTCTCTCTGTCCTGCAAACAAAGTATATGGTGCCTTTAGTATATAGGATGTGAGCTAACTGTGATGGGAAAGCGATCTCTGGAAATAGCTTGGGTTGTTTTGGGGACCTCTGGGACCTCCCTGATCAGTAACTCATAGGGAACAGTCCTGTGCCTGGTGCTGATATTTTCATTTAATAATCCATGTCGTCTGGTAACAACATTATCTACTCATGTAAGGCACCTCTGTTGAAACCTTATTTTTTATTTTAAATAAAGACATTTTGATTAGCTTGTAAACCAGTAGGCATCCTTACATTCTCGTTCTGATTAATCTGCCTCTCTTCTTCATTCCTCTGCCCAGTCACTGCTAAAACCTTTAACTCCTTGTATTATCTCTCTGCTTTTGTTTTTATTTTTTGTAACACGGTTTCTCTGTGTGGCCCTGGCTGTCCTGGAACTCACTCTGTAGAGCAGGCTGGCCTCGAACTCAGAGATCCACCTGCCTGTGCTTCCCAAGCACTGAGAATAAAGGCATGTGCCATCCCACAAGGCATCCTTCTCTGCTTTTATATCATCTGTTTTGAGAACAGCCTTTGCTGGACAGCTCTGTGCTAGGCACTTTACTAAGCATTTTTCCAACATTAACCCTCACAGAAACTATGTAGGCATGGTTGCTATCCTCCTCTTACAGATGTGGAAAATGGCAGATTATCAAATTAGCCCCTGCTCGTCAGAATTTGAACCTGCCTGCTATGGGACAATGGCCTGTACCCTGTCACTTGTATTTTAAATAAATGCGGATTGGCCAGTAGCCAGGCAGGAAGTATAAGCGGGGCAATGAGAATTCTGGGAAGAGAAAGATTCAGTCTGCAGTCGTGACCCAGCCGTAGAGGAAGCAATATGAGCACGCCTCAAGGATAAAGGTGCCAAGCTAACAGACAAGAATAATGGGCTAGTTTAATATGTAAGAATTAATAAGAAGCTTGAGCTACTAGGCCAACTAGTTTATAATTAATGCAGACCTCTGTGTGTTTCTTTGGGACTGAACAACTGTGAGACCAGGCGAGACAGAAAACTTGGTCAACACCTGCCTGAACCTGAGGCCTGCTATTTCTTACTATATCATGCTATCTCCCTATTGATAGCAGATATAATTCTAAATATGCAGCTTTTCTTAAAGAAGACACCTTCTGTGCCAAGAGTAAGAAGTCTGTTTCTTATGCACATGAAATTGCTAACAACTTTGAAACAAGTTTCCTCTTAAGGATCTCTTCTGTATCAGGAGGAAGAGTTTGAGTTTCTCATGTATATGAAGTTACTGACAGTCTAGACAGCTCTGTGTTTGGCTTCAGCTCCTCATTGTTACTTCTCAAACACACCTCCATTTCTTCTTTGCTTTGTGACGTCTGTCTCTTAGTAGCCACAATATTAATGGTTTTTATCTTTTCTTTGAGGGCTGTGTGCAAGAAATTTGGGCTGCATGTGAGTCGAATGATGCTGGCCTTCTTGGTGCTCAGCACCGGCATGTTTTGTTCATCGTCCGGTAAGTAGGAGGGCAGGTGTGGGTCACAGGTTCCCCTTCCTATGCAGTTGCCTTTGAGGGAAGCACTCGGCCAGCAAGGTTATGTAGACGAATGCTTGGCAGGGCACTTGTGTGACCTGCACAGATTCATGAGAAGTAGAGAGTTTCTGTTCCTTCTTCCTAATGGCCACTGGGGGAGGAGAGTATTTTTGAATGATGGCTCTTTTTTCTGCCTGTTATTTGAGATGTATTCTATAGAGCTTGTATCCCTTGGGCATTTATTTTATAGTTAGCTTCTGGACACTTAGAATAAAGGTTCTAGGTAGGACTTGTAGCTTTCCAGCTGTGTTGCCTTTGAACGCCTATATTCTGTGGACTGAGCTAAGGCAGCCTGCTCAAAAGATAGGTGGTTCCCAATTCTCCAGAAAAAATATCTTGCTAAATTATCTCAATTTTAGTTTATGCTTATATAATCAAGAATCTAGTAGGTACACTAAATATACAAGATAGCACCTTGCACAGAGTTCATGGTTAGCATTTTCTTCATTGACTATATGGAAATGAATGTTCTGCAGGGACCTCCGGGCTCCACCCTGGACCAGCTTGGAGAACCACTGTAGTGAATGTGCCGTAAATGCTTCATCAGCATCAGCAGAGACCTCAGATTTCTCTGCTCTTTTGTTCTGCACTGGCAGCCAGAATTGACTTCAATATTGTTTAGCATCTGTCTTGAAAGTTGCATCTCACATGTTCTATGTTTTAGTTACTTTGCTAATCCGGAAACAGATTTGGGGGGGGGGGGGCGTTCCCTTAGTTTTGCAGTGTAGTTGAGGCACTTAGGAATTCAGTCTTTACTGCGGAGCCTTTGAAGTGAGCCCTTGCTGAGTGTCCTAAATCTCACTGCATATTCATTGTAGTTCTTGTTAGAATCAGCTGATTTTTTTTTTTTTGCTTCAGGCCTTATAAAGCATGAGAAGCCACATTTTTGTTTAGTTGTTAGGAATATTTTGCTGCTGTTGCAAGAGCCTTGAGTGTGTTCAGACTCTTGTATACCATGACAAAGTTATGGCAGATGTAATGGTTAGGGGCTATGCCAAAGCCAGAGTGTAGCTCTGAGCCTTGAGGAGGCTTCCTAGAATCCCTGTAGAGAACAAGTGTGAACCAGGATATCTTAGCAGAAGAAACCAATACATCGTCTGCAATGGGTCTGAGTCTTTTGAATCATATTCTCTGCGTGGAAATAAAGGTGGAGAGTCTTGGATTTGTTTAAGCTTTAAATGTAGGTACAGGCCAGGAGAGGAATGGATGGCTAGTATTGTGTAACTTGGGCCTTGTGTACTTGGAAAAAAGGTCTGAGGAAATAAAAACCACAGTGCCTTTTGTGTTTTGAAAAGGGATGTCCTTTGACTACCCGTTTGTTTCCTTCACTTCCTCCCTTTCTGTGTGTATTTTTCTACCCAGGGTCTCACGGTCCAAGACAGGGTCTTATGTGGCCTCAAACTTGCTGCATAGCTGGGGATGCCCTTGAACTTCTGATTTTCTTGCTACTACCTCCTGAGGGCTGGGACTGTAGGCATGTGCCACGATGTCCAGTTGTGGTCTAGAACTTGAACCCCAGGCTTTGTGCATTGTAGGCAAGCTCTCTGTCAGCTGAGCCATGTCTCCAGCCTTAGTGCTTGTTTATAATAGTGTTTTCCAAAGTAGATTCATTTTGCAGTGCAGGTGAATTTTTACAATCAATATCTAATCTCATTCTCTTGTTCCTTTCTCTCTTTGCTCTTGTAGCATTCCTTCCTAGCAGCTTCTGCATGTACACTACATTGATCGCCATGACCGGATGGTATATGGACAAGACACCCATTGCTGTGCTGGGAGTAGCAGCCGGGGCTATTGTAGGGTGGCCATTTAGTGCAGCCCTTGGGTAAGAAACTTAAGTTATTCCTCTCCTGTATACCCTATGCATCTGGTCAATCCTGATGTTGTATCAGATGCAGATTTCCCAGCCAGCAACGAAAGCTAAAGGAATTGATTTGACTGGTGAAGACTTTTGGGAACTGCTTCTTTGTGTGTTTTATTCCAATGAGAGTAATGACTGCTAAGCTCCTGCTGAATGCTGCCATTGTTAGCATTACCAAACCCATCACAATTTTTATTTCTAAATTTTACAACTCTGCAAGAAGCTATAATAATTAGTAGTTTTGAGTGGGTTGGATTTTTTTTTTGTTTTTTGTTTTTTTTAATTTTTCGAGACAGGGTTTCTCCGTAGCTTTTGGTTCCTGTCCTGGAACTAGCTCTTGTAGACCAGGCTGGCCTCGAACTCACAGAGATCCGCCTGCCTCTGCCTCCCGAGTGCTGGGATTAAAGGCGTGCACCACCACCGCCCGGCTGAGTGGGTTGGATTTTTGAGACAGGGTTTCTTTGTGTAGCCTTGGTTGTCTTGGAATTAGCTCTGTAGACCAGGCTGGACTTGAATTTACAGAGATCCACCTGCCTCGGCCTCGTGAGTGCTGGGATCAAAGGTGTGTGACACCACTTCCTGACAATAATTAGTATTTTTATAAATGAGAACATAGGTAGTAAGATTTGAAATAATTTGCCATTAACATTATGCTTGCTTTTTAAAAAATGCTTTTACTAACATATATTAATTATACATACCAGGTTTCACTGTGACATTTTCATACATGTATGGATTGTATTTCAGCCATTTTCCTCAGCCGTGTTACTCTCTCTTGTCCTACTCTCTCTCCTGCTGACCCCTTTCCTCTGTCTTCTAAAGCTTGCTGACGTTTCTCACACTGCTGCAGTCTGTGCTGTGCATTTTCCTTGTCACCCGGATTGCAATGTTCTCTTTTCTCCTTCTCTTTTCTTGAAAAAAAAAAATATGTGCATGGGGTGTGTGTCTGTCTATGTACCTGCAGGCTAGAAAAGGGCAGCCCATGCTCTTAATCACTAAGCAATTTCCCCTGCATCCCTTCTCCTTTCTTGCGCCAGCTCCTTCCCCAAGTTTAAGTGTGTTTCCACTTCCTTCTGTCCTCTTTGTTTCTACTACTTCTTTCTCCGTTGGTCTACCTTAACTTCTTGACTATACTAGAGGAATGGCTCATTGGTTAAGAGTGCATGCTGCTCTTGGAGAAAACTGGAATTTGGTTCCCAGCATCCATACTGGGTGGTTCACAACTGCCTGTAACTGCAGTTCCAGGGAATCTGGTACCCTCTTCTTGACTTTGCAGGCACTAGCACTCACATATACATAATTTAAAAATACATCTTAATAGTTGTTATTAACATTTTAAATATAATATTCCATATTTTTAAAAGTACCTATAGGATATAGCTCAGTAGTAAAATGTTTGCCTGGGATGTATAGGACCTCACCATAGCAACAAGTAACCAGAGAGCAGATTTAATGAGGTAAAAAGGGTTTTTGGAGACTGGGGGGATGACTTAGTAAAGTGCTTGCCGTGCAAAGCACCTACTTAAAAGGCAGGTATGGTGCTTCTGAAATCCCAGGGCTAGGATGGAGACTGAGGAGTTTCTGGAGCTCACTGGCCAGCTAGCCTCGCTGATGGGTCCTTGGAAAGACCAGCTTATTTTTGAGAAGACGTCTTGTCACATACCAGCTTCCTTTCTTCTCTGCCCCTGGGAAAGCCGTTTGGTTCTCTGCTCAGCATAGACCTGTGTGACTCTGTCCCAAGTGTTTGGTGCTTTACCAACATTTTCCTGTGTTTCTGTTGAATAGTTTACCCATCGCCTTTGACTCGCTGGCCCTGAAACACAGGTGGAAGAGTTTCTTTCACTGGTCGCTGGTGGCGCTAGTTCTCTTCCTGGTGAGTTTCCTGTTTTCTGCATTTGCTCTCATGTTTGAAGTAGCTTCTGATGTGACGAAGGAAACATCAGGAGCTCATTTTATTTTTCATTCTGAAGTTTTTCCATCAGCATTTTGAAAAGTACCAATGCTGTTTTTTTCTTTTACTTTAGGTGCCCGTGGTGGTCATTGACAGCTACTATTATGGGAAGTTGGTGGTTGCTCCTCTCAACATTGTTCTGTATAATGTGTTCACTTCTCATGGACCTGATCTTTATGGTAATTCTTCAGAAAATTTGAGGAAAAAGTAGAAAGCAGCTTAATTTACCTGAGCTTTACAATTTTAATTAATATATATCCCTTCCTCTCCATTCCTTCCCTGCAGGCTTTAGGCATAGTCCAAGTTGGCCTTGAACTCCTGATCCTCCTCCTACACTCTAGAACTGGAATAACAGCGTGCACTGGCCAAATGTGGCATTTTGAGCTGTGTCTTTTTCTACTGAACACAGAGCTTTTGACTGTAGTGTAATGAAAACTTAGCCCATGTCTCCTGACTGGTGCAGTAGTCAGGGCTGACCCTCCCTCGGTGCTGCTGGACGTTATCCCCAGATCTAGACTCAGGGAGCTTGAAGGAGTGTTGGCTATGCGTGGTGTCACTGTGTAGCCAAAACTAGTCTTAAACTTGTAGCAATCCTTCTGACTCCGCCTCCCAAGTGACACAATTGTAGGGTTGACCATCCATGCCTGGTCATGGCTTTGACGCTTTTTAAATTTTTTAATCTAACTACTTTTGAGATGGTTGTGGTGGTACATGCCTGTAATTTCAGTACTGGGGAGGCAGAGGCAGGAGTAGCAGTTCAGAGCTAGCTACATAGCAAGTTTGAGGCTAGCTTGGGCTACATAAGACCCCTATCTTAAAAAACAGCAGCTGGGTGTGGTGGCACATGCCTTCAATCCCAGCACTCAGGAGGCAGAGGCTGGGGGATCTCTGTGAGTTAGAGGTCAACCTGGTCTGCAAAGTGAGTTCCAGAACAGCAGGGCTGTGTTTTTTATACAAAGAAACTGCATCTCAAAAAACAAAAAAATAAATACAAATCAACAACAACAACCAAACTTCTATTATCATAAAATGAATATAATAACAAAAAGAAAACAAACAAATAGCTCCGTCATCTCCATGTAGTAGTATTAACTTTTAGGAGTATATTCCTACATACGTTTTCTATACATATACATTTGATGTTAGTTTTTTTGGGGCAGGGGGGAGAAAGTTTGGAAAATCTGCAAAGTGAGCAGAGGAGACTCGCGTCAGCAGGAGAGAATGAGCAGACTGGCCTGTTTAAGATTGAGAGAAAGTGATTGCCTGTTGTGCCTCCGTGATGTAGTCTCCAGGTACCCGAGAACCTCCGTCTCTTACCCACCCCTCCCCAGTCTAGTTTCATTTGACCCCTGAATGCATTTGGGCTGGCTAGTTACCAAAAGATGTTAGAGGCTTTTCTAGATCAACTAAGCCACTAAATACTTCATGAGCAAATTTCCCCCTTGGAATCAGTGTGGTTTCTTTATCAATCTTCTAGGTGTCTCCAGAGCATTCTCTGCATTTGACTGCCTTGGCTTGGTTGGGAGTCAGTTTGATATTACATCTGTGTCTCAGGTCAGCTCCTATGATTAGTGTTTGTTGGGCGGCCTGGCCAGTTAAACCAGTAGCTTGCTCTGGCAGCCTCTAGATGTCTCCTTTCAGCTAGGGAAAGTTCACATGTTTTAAATTGCCCTTTAGTTTGGTTTATTTATACGATTTTATTTGACTACATCCAGACTGCGTGGTGAAAATTGATTTACATGTCCCCAATTAGAAATTTATCCATTCTTTATTGGTAGATGGGTTAATTTGAAAAACTGGCTTCTCACTTTCGTAAGTGGGTCATTATATGCTGGGTAGTCTGACTGCTTATTAAACTCTAAAGAAAATATGAAAGTGATGCATTTTTGTAGCCCTTTAGAGGCTCTGGAGATGATTGGGCTAGTGGGGAAGTGGAGAAGAAAGGCCTGATGTTCCCGTTTAGTAGTGGGTTGGTCAAGGAGGCTGCGGTAGATTTGGGACTACAGTAGACCTGTGTCCAGTCTCTTCTTGGACTCTGGTGTCTGCAGTTCATTTCACACAATGTTTGTTGAGAAGAGTCCTAGGGTTTTGTGCCACTTCGTAAATCCGCTTTGATTTCACTTAATATAGTTTTGCTATCATGGAAGTAGAATACTGGTTACTCTGTCAGTAGTGGGGATTGTCTCACCAGCCGTGAAAGTGATTGTGTATTGCTGTAGGTAGCTGGCCTTAACAATTCCTTGATAGAAGTATTCCAAGAACACAAATTCTACTCTGCTCAGAATTTGAACTTGACATTATTTTTTGTTCTGTTTTTCAATACAGTATTTTTCTGTATAGTTCTAGCTGTATAGTTCTCGCTCTGTAACCCAGACTGACCTTGAACTTGTGATCCTCCTGCCTCCACCTCTTTCAGCAAATCTTCCCGGTCTGTGACAATTGGTGAAAATTGTTTTAAGTCTGATATCAGTTCTTGGTTTTCAGAGTTTATTTGTTTGTTTTCTTGGAGCTAAGGACTGAGCTGATTACTGTTCTTTAAGAGTGTTAGCTTCTCCTTGTTTAGATGCCTCCCGTGGAGAGAATACTATCTTAGTTGGAACTCCTTGTACATTGTAGGTTCACAGTAAAACATCAAGAGGGAATAGAAGATTGATTTCTATAGAATCAGTCAGGATCCTCGTTGCTGTCAGGTCTTAGAACTGCTTTGGTTGGACCTGATAGAGTGCTGACTTGGGATTTTTCTTGATACCAAATAATAATAATACATGTAAATTATTTTAAGATGCTTGTTGGCTGTCAGTTGGCTCAGTCTCAGGGACCAGCATTGTGAATGCTTTGATGTTGTGAAGTCATTAATTGAAACCCAGAGAAGACATTTTTCTATCTTGAAAGTATAACCATCCAGAATTTTTCTACAACTCAAAGAATAAATGGGAAGAAATGAAAGATTAGAGATGTCTCAGATGAATGACTCAGGACAGGACTTCTGCACCTAACGGTTTAGTTGTCTTTGAATAGGAATGAGCTTTCCCCAGAGGTGGCACACGATTGAACGAGGGCCCTTCCTTCGCGGACCACTTCCCTCTTACTCCTCTAAGTGTCTCTAGCATTATGACTTTGGTTTCTAACCTTATTTTGCTGTGCAAGCCACAAATGAGTCTTTTTTTTCTGCCTCTGCCTCCTGATTTTCCTTTTAAGCAATGCTGATTGCAGGAAATTGCTATGGTGCAAGGCGGATGTCACAACGCACACTGATTAAAACCTGCACGTGTCATTCACTGCCTGATTGAAGTAATCCCCCAGAGGGAAAAGGGATGAGAAAACGGCTAAATGTTGAGGGAGGGGAGCTCTTTCTTTCAGGGTTAAGGACCTTGAGTTATGAAATAAAACCATCGTGAGACTTGCATTTCAGCCGTTTTTCTTCCTTCCGAATTCTTTGAGTTCTGAGCAGGACCTGGGTCTCTGGTCATAATGGGGACAGGAGCTGAGGAGGCTGGAGAGGTGGCTCAGTGGTTAAGGTGTCTGCTGTCCTTGTAGAGGACCCAAGTTTGGTTCCTGCTACCGTGTCAGGCAGCTTACAACCACCTGTAGCCATAGCTCTGCAGCTGTGGTTCTCCACCTTCCTAATGCTGCGACCCTTTAATACAGCTCCTCGTGTCATGGTGACCCCTAACTATTATTTTCATTGAAATATGTCATTCTTTCATAACTGTAATTTTACTACTGTTATGAATTATAATGTAAATATCTGATATGCAGGATATTTGGTGTCTAACCCCTGTGAAAAGGTCGTTCAATCTCTAGGTTGAAAACCATTGCTCTAGAGGATCTGATGCCCTCTTTTGGCCTTTGCGGATACCCACCCTCACATACACATTAAAAAAAAACACAAAAAAGCCATGCTGTTTTTTAAATTAAATATGTACATATATATATATATACATATATACACATACACACATGTATGTACGTATGTGTATGTATGTATGTGTGTTTCTGGTTCTACTGAGGACTGAGCCCAGGGCTTTATGCATGCTAGTCAGGTACCCTACTACTCAGCTATATCACTAACCCTGAGTTACTGCTTTTTATGAAACACATAGAACCCTATATTTGTGACTGTAAAATAGGAGTTGAGCTTTTCAAGGGGATGCATAGCTATAAGCAAGTTTATCTGTTACTTAGTCTTCAGAGTATTGAAACTACAGTTAATTCAAATGATGTCTTAAGATGTTTTAGCTTCATGTGCTCTGTGCTCTTTAGCTACTAATACTAGTTAAAGCGTTTCTCTCATTTGGGTTTGTTGGTGCTGCCTTAACAGAATATTAAGACTGGGCAATTTATGAAGCACAGAAATGTGTTTCTGCTGGAGGTTAGGAGTCCAGTATGAAAACTCATGCAGGTTGAGTGCTTAGTGAGAGCTGGGCCTATGCTTCTGCAGTGGCACCAAGGTACTAAACTCTAGAGGAAAGGAATTCTGCATCTTCTGTGGTAGAGGAGAAGATGGCTAAATTCCTACTGATAGAAATAAAGTGAAATAATTAAAATCCGGTAATTCTCATCCAGAGCTTCTTAACCCATCTGCGTTTCCTGTCTTCTGCTCTTGTGCCTCCTGTATATGCCTGAGCACTGAAGAACGCCTAGGCTTGTGGATTTTCATTTAGTTGAGTGTTGAATTGCCAGTGCTTCTTGAGCAGAAGGCAGTAAAGGCCAAATACTGTAGCAGGCATTGAAGGCATCACTAATGGCGTCTATCTCTTTCTCCCTCAGGTACAGAACCATGGTATTTCTATTTAATCAATGGATTTCTGAATTTCAACGTTGCTTTTGCATTGGCTCTTCTGGTCTTGCCACTGACTTTTCTTATGGAGTACCTGCTGCAGAGGTTCCATGGTGAGTGGTTTGAGATATGGCAGGTTTTGGAGGAGGAGAAAGCAGGTAACAGGTTAAACACCAAGTGGAAAACTGCTCATTTTAGTCTCCACTTTCTCTCTGTGAAAATGGTTGAATAACTGAGATTTTAGTTTGTATTTGTAGATTATTTGGTTAATTGTTCGAATTGAACAAGATGAAGCTTTGTGTCATCTTAAGGCAGCAGTTCTCAACTTGTGAGTCATAGCCCTTGGGGTTGCATAATCTATATTTACATTATGATTCATAACAGTAGCAAATTTACAGTTATGAAATAGCAATGAAATAACTTTATGTTTTGGGGTCACCACAACATGAGGAGCTGTATTAAAGGGTCAACATTAGTAAGGTTAAGAATCACTGCCTTAAGGGAAGGAAGTCAGTGTGATTTTACCATTACCAGAGAAGCAGAGACATTTGGGGAAAGTACAGGAGATCAGCCTGTTTGAACCATTCCCCTTGTAGGCAAGTGTCTTGGATGATTGTTTACCGTGATCTGTGCTGCAGGCAAACATTCTGAAGCTGGAACTGAAGCAGCTTGCCAGGGGCCAATGCTCCCGGCTTCCTCTGCTGTGTGGCACTCACCTTACTCTGACTATGTGTCATACAGCGCTATTTCTCGAGCGGTGGAGCTGGGTTTCTGGTATCTGCACTATGGAAGACAAATTTGAGCAGAAATTCATGAGAGCTTTGGGAAGGTTTAACTCGAGACATCTTTGTTGGGTTTTCGTGCCAGATGAATGATCTTCCCTTCTCACCTGCTCAACTTTTCTTGTTAATGGTTTATATAGCATGTGCTGTCTGGACAGTGAGGGGATCTTCACTCATTTAGAAAGATTTGGAAAATGATTGGAGGGGGCAGGGATAGTATATTGTGGAGGCCAGAGGACAACCTTTGGGATGCAGTTCTTGCTCTCTCTTGTGGAATCTTGGGATTGAACTCAGGATGTCAAGTTTATATGGCAGGGTAAATTGCATTACCCACTGAGCCATCTCACTGGCTCAAGGTCAGGAATGTTTACCTCCAGAGAGTGCTATAGTTGCACCAATGGTTTAGTAACTAAATCAGACAGCTAGGAGGGCGGCTCTTGACTGTCACGCTGTAGACATAATGAACACCAGGGGGTGCTGTCTGCCCACCTCTTGCCAGCATTTTGTAGATACCTCCCTCATTGTCAGTAATGCCAACCTAGCATGGATGCCTTTTGTCAAGGCTCTTGTAATGCCAGGAATTCTCCAGCAGGTGCTTGGGGCACAGTGTTCTCTATGTTCCTTTTATTATTTTGAGAGTCTTTTAAGTACATGTTGGTTTCAGTTTTGTGATTCAGAGTAGATGTGGATTGTAAAGACAGAAAACTTCGTTTTAGAGTATTTTGTGTTTGCTTTGAAGCATTGTCATTGGTCTTGGTGACACTCCTGTAATCCTAGCACTCCAGAGAATGAGGCATTTGGGTCAAGTTTGGACAACAGAACAAAACAAGGCAGACTGGGTTGGGGCTTGATGAATAGGGTTCAAGAATTTAACTGATTTTTTTCTTTCTTTCATCCATGCTGTTTTAACAGACCCACTGGTGTGTGGATAAAAGGATTACTCAAAGTGGATTTGGTTAATTTGGGGAATCTTTGGTCTTAGTGGCAGAACCCATACAGAGAATATGCTTTTTATCTTTCCCCATCTAGAGTTTATTAAGCTCTGTTATCCATTAACTGTACTTCCCCTGTGTTTTAACTGTTGTTCCTCCCTCTAAGCTTTGGGTCTCTTGGAAAAACCCAGGAGTATGTTCCTTATGTTAGAATGAGAGTAAATTCCTAAGTTGAAACATTTTAATGGGATGTCGTCCTAGTATCAAATTTAAATTAAAAAAAAAAAGACTTTGAAACAAAATACACTGTTTGGTTCTCACATGATGACAGGAGGATGTTATTTTGTCTTGCAGTTCAGAATTTAGGACATCCATATTGGCTTACCTTGGCACCAATGTATATTTGGTTTCTAATTTTCTTCATCCAACCTCACAAAGAGGAACGATTTCTTTTCCCAGTATATCCACTTATATGTCTTTGTGGCGCTGTTGCTCTTTCTGCACTTCAGGTGAGTTTCTGGGAAACGTTTGTCTGCCTCTTCTTGATTCATTTCTGACACGATTGCTTGTGAAACTTTGAGGGCAGGTGGATGACTGTGAGTTGCAGGCCAGCCGGTCTCCATAGTGCGCTCCAGGCTAGCCAGCACTGCTCAGTGTGACCCTATCTCAGCAGCAGCAACAACAAAGACCCTTATGGATAAATTACAGAGTGTACCTCTATCCATAACATGAAACCTGCTGCGGAACATATCCTAAAAGCTCTGTGTATTGATAAGGATATATTTCACTCTATTTGCTATTGATTGTGTTTATAATGTTCATTTGTCTCCTGTCGACAGGATCCATTTACTAATACATTTTAGCTTATCATATAGGACATCACAAATGGTGGCACATGGACAGACTAAACAGAATGTGTGTTCTACAATTATTAGATCAGAATCAGACATGATCAGGATTTGGGGATTATATCAGACAATTAGAAATATGGGGCAGTTTGTAATCTTGATTTAAAGCTTGTCCAGATCAGTTCTCTGGCAGAGTTAATTTTACATTTGTTTGATTATCTCTGTGTTTATGACTTTATACCATTTGCAGTTGTCAGGGAAAGAAAAAAATAAGGTGATAGTTTTTGTTTTTAACAGATTTATTAAGTGAGAACTCATAAACTATGAGTTCAGCTTTTTCAAGTGTATAACTTAGTGGCTTTAGCGTATTTGCAGGTGTCTGCAGCCACAAGTTTAGGACATTTTCATCACCTCAAAAGCTCCATGCCCATTACCTCGAGCCCCCACCCCTGTGTCATGGTATATCCACAGTACAATGTCACTGTCTCCTTTGTATATCAATTTGTCTATTCTGTGCATCCCATGTGAGTGAAATCTTAAAATACGCGTTCTTTTATGACTGCTCTCTTTCACATGGCATAATGTTTTAAGGTTATTCTATGTTAGGGTGATATTATATTTAGTAAGTACATATAATATGTATTATGTGGTTATATATAATATATTACATATACTTGTTTGAGATAGGGAGGCTCACTGTGTAGCCTTGGTATGTAGACCAGGTTAGTTTTGAATTCACAGAGATCCATCTGCCTCTACCTCTGTAGTTCTGTGATTGATGGTGTGTGCTACCATGTCCATCAGGGTGATAGTTTTAAAAGATAACTTTATTTATAAGGTATAACTTTATGTGAGATAGTTTAGAGATTGCTGAAAGCATTTCCTCTTCCACCAAGACACCTATAACTTCATATCATCTTAACTTTTGTCATAATGTTGTCAGTGTTGTCATATCTAAAATACTGATTTATTCAGATATTTTAAGATAAGTTATTAGTGTTGGGGCTTACGTCTGTAGTCCTGTACTGGAGGGACAGAAGCAAGAAGGTAGCAAGCTACTGAGGAATGCAGAGTAACAGCTTGTCTTGAGAAGCAAAAAAGAAAAACAACATTAGAACCTCAAGCACCAGCAAAAATATACATTTTATTTTCTTTTGACACTAGAGTTTATTCTTGTAAAGTTGGCTGGCTAAGCAAACCTGCAGACAGAGCTAGAAGAGTTGACTTTGGTCTTTGAATTTGGAATGGGTACCACACCAAGTGTTTGCACATGCTCAGATCTTTCCTCACACCCCTTGTTCTGCTTCTATATCCCAGTGTTTCTGTGATGGTGTGTGTCTATGTATGTTGTGTCTGTGATGGCGTGTGGTTATGTATGTTGTGTCTGTGATGGTGTGTGGCTGTGTATGTTGTGTCTGATGGCGTGTGGTTGTGTATGTTGTGTCTGTGATGGTGTGTGGCTGTGCATGTTGTGGCTGTGATGGTGTGTGGCTATGTATATTGTTTCTGTGATGGTGTGTATCTTGTTTATCAATACGGTTGCCTTTTCTTCTAGAAATGTTACCACTTTGTGTTTCAACGATATCGCCTGGAACATTACACTGTGACGTCCAGCTGGCTTGCATTAGGAACAGTCTTCCTGTTTGGGCTCTTGTCTTTCTCTCGCTCTGTGGCTCTGTTCAGAGGTAGACATACTGGGAGTGTCTTAACCCGTACTTACAAAGAACTTCACCTTAGTGTTTACTTGTAGCGTGTGGTTGGCTTATGCTGGGTGGGGTGTGGCTCTGGACTGAAAGGAGATTGCTAGATCTTCATGTCACTACACATTTCCCCTCCAATAGCATTGATTTCCGACTCTCGTTTTCAATTTAAAAATTTTTTATATGTATAGGTGTTTTGTCTGAATGCATAGGTACTACATGGGTATCTAGTGCCTGTGGAGACCTGAAGAGGGCATTGAATTCCCCAGAACTGAAATTACATACAATTGTGAGCTGCTGTGTGGGTGCTGGAAAATGAAGGAGGGACCTCTGAAAGAGCAGCTAGTGCTTTTAACCATCTCTCAGCCTTTTCCATTTTTAATGTTTGCTGCTAATGTAATGAAACCTAAATATGTTATACAAATTGGAACTAAGTTCTCCTGGTTAAATATTTCCTAATAATTATTATTGGGGTCATAATAGTATAATATACCCAAGGAATAGAAAATCTAGAGGGTAAAACAGTATACAAAGAACAAGAAAGCAGGTTACATTTGGCAAATAAAGCCTCCCCTGTGGTGGTTGTCCCACCAAGAGAGACATCTGTGCTGGTAGAGCTGGCTTTCCACTGAGCTGCTGTGGGTTTTCACACTCTTAGAAATTTCATGTGGATTATAGTGGGATATTATAACTAAAAGCTAGAACCTCATCTTATGCTTTCATGAACTCTTTTCCCTTTTAGGATATCATGGGCCCCTTGATCTGTATCCAGAATTTTACCGAATTGCCACAGACCCAACCATCCACACTGTCCCAGAAGGCAGGCCTGTGAATGTTTGTGTGGGAAAAGAATGGTATCGATTTCCCAGTAGCTTCCTTCTGCCTGATAAGTAAGTTGTCCTTTAATTCATAATATTTCTGAATGTGTGGAGGGTATATGTGGGGTTGTGTATGTGCATGTGTGTGTTCAGAAATGTCAGAGGTGGACAGAGTGTCCTCTTCTCTCACTCTGCCTGTTCTTTGAGGCAGAGTCTCTTGCTGTACCTGGAGCTTGCTGCCCACCCCCCAACTAATCTGGATTGCAGTCAGCAAGCCCCAATGGGGTCCTGCTGTCTCTGCGGCCTCAGTGCTGACATTACAGGCATGCACGGGATAGCTGGTGTGTTAATGTGGGTGCTGGCATCTGAACTCTGACCCTCAGACTTGCACAAATTGAACTCTTAACCACTTAACTATCTCTCCAGTTCCTAATTCTCACATTTTATATATTTATTTTAAAGATTTACTTATTTTTTTTTTTACATGAGTGTTTTGCTTGCATATATTTATGTACCTAGCTGGTGCCCAGCTAGGCCAGAACAGAGCATCAGATCTTCTGAAACTCAAGTTGAAGAGAGTAGTTAGCGTCCATGTTGGTGCTGGGAACTGAACTCAGGTTCACTTCAGGAACAGCAAATGCTCTTAACTTCTGAGCCATCTCTTTACCCCCATTTCCCAGAAATTTAGATCAGAAATTAGCAGTTCTATGGCAGGATTGTGTTAGAGTTTGTTTGTTTTGGAAGGCTTAATTTTTTTCTTTGGAAGTGTATGTATATGTGTGTATATTTGGGACACATGCACCCATGTGTAAATGTGTGAGGAGGTCAGAGGTCAGCTTTGGGTCTGCCCTGGTTTTTGTGACAGGGTCTCTCATGACCCAGGACTTACCAGTAAGGCTAGGCTGGCTGACTGGGTAACTAGCAAGTCCCTGGGATCGTCCTGTGTCTGCCTCCCCACCACTGGTATTAGAAGTGCACCCCACCACACCTGGCTTTTTCACTTGACCTCAGGTTCTCACCAACTGGACAGTCTTCTGACCCTCTTATAGTTTTTACAGGAATTACTGACTCATTTATCTTCTTAGAGTGCTGCAGAATCTGCATTGTGTGCCTGCCTCTTTTTTCATGAACAGGTGTTCTAGGTCATGTGCTTTTCCCTTCTCCTAGTCACAGGTGTGTCCTTAGGCTTGGCTGGTAACTTGTATGTGTGTGTGAATGTCTGTGTGCTCATACTCTTGCATGTCCTGTGTAGAGGCCGGAGTTGATACCCTGTATCATCTTCTACTGCCCTTTGCATTATTTGTTTACTTATTTTTGCTTTTGAGCCAATGTCTCACTGTGTAGCCCTGACTGGCCTGGAACTTGATACATAGACCAGGCTGGCCTCTAACTCACAGAGATCCACCTGCTTCTGCCTCTGAGTCCTGGGATTAAAGATGTGTGCCACCATGCCTACCTCCACTTTATTTCTTGAGACAGGGTCTCTCTCCTTGCTATACCGAGAACTCAGGGTTTCAACTAGCAAGCCCTCCAGAATCTTCCTGTGTGTCTCCTCAGTGCTGTGCTGGGATTGCAGCTTTTATTTGGCTGTTGGCGTTCCAAACGCAGGTCCTCCTGCTTGCATAGCAAGCACATTATCCAGGCCCCTTTTTGAGGGCACGTATTTATCATCCTGCAGTTGACACTAAAACACTAACAGTGGTGTAGAGACCCCGGCAAGAAGAATGGATTTAGAAAGGAGTTTTTTTCCCTTCAACAATAAATTTCCACACTGATTTATAGGAGTCGGGAGAACTATGATCGAGGTGTTCTGACTCCCTTTATACTCTGGTAGATGTGGTAGCGTACACCCCTGGACTTCTGTGTTTTCTTATTTGGTCTGTTTTCAGAGAGAAAGAAGTCTGGCTAAGATGAGTAATTAATGTTGCTGACTTCGCCAGCTCCTCACCTGGTAATGCAGCTGGTTTTTTTGTTTGTTTGTTTGTTACATAATGAAGATTTTCGGTCATAAACTTGTCTTTTAAATGTTGGCCTGGGCCTTTGCCTTTAGTATGAGGATTATTCAGACCAAAATAGTATTCTCCTAGTGTTAGTGCACTTGCCATCTTCTGTACACCTGGTGAGTTGGCTTTGATTCTTTAATTCACGTGGGAGGCAGTAACATGTTGACACTCCTTGTTCTGTGGTTGACTGTCAAGTTGCAAGTTTTGAAGCCGAGACTTGAGTAAAAGGATGGGGAACCCTTTAGTTGCAAATTTCTTGATGATTTCAGACCAGCTTGTGACCTCTGCCTCCGCTCCCTGGTGAAGTTTTAGCAGAAATCGTGTTTTGTTCCTCGTGATCTGGGGTGAAGGGTTGTTTGTTTCAAGTCTATTTAGCAATATGATCTCTTTGTGTTTTTCTCATTTTTCTCATCTGTGTTTCTGACAGCTGGCAACTTCAGTTCATTCCATCAGAGTTCAGAGGTCAGCTACCAAAGCCTTTTGCAGAGGGACCACTGGCCACTCGGATTGTTCCTGCTCACATGAATGACCAGAACCGAGAGGAGCCTTCCAGATACGTAAGGGCTGCCAGTCTTCCCTTGTTGCTGCTAGAGAAAAGCCACTGTAGCTCTCTAGGCGGGTTCCACTGGAGCACTGACCAAATGGGTGTCTCAGAATATGGTTTCTTGAGAGTGAAAGATGAAATAACACATGTGCGGAGGGAGTGAATGGGATAATTTCTTTCCAAATCTTGTTTAATTTTCTATGTAAAGCATATAATTCAGTTTACAAAGTTTTGAAGGGGCTGGAGATTTTCTGAGAGAACCTTGAGCTGTCCTTCTGAGTCCCCTGAAACTCACATCTTTCCTTGGTCTCCTGAAATACTTGGTGGGGAGCTTCTAAGTGACCAGGTGACCTTTGACCTGGCTCTTGCTATGCTCTGTTTCTGCTAGCACCGCACTCAGAAAGGCTATTTCAGAGTGAGTTCCATGGAGCAATCCCTGTCAGTGCCATCATCTTCTACCTACTTGCCTTCAAGTCATCTGAATTTTTTATTCAGCTCTTTTGAGAGAGAACGGTTTTGATGTTTGATACTGGTAGAATTCTGGTTAAAAAAGTTGAGAGCTGACCTTCGAGATGGCTCAGTGGTAAAGGCATTTGTTGTTTCTGACTTCTACAACGTGGTGCCTGTGGGAGTTTGTGAACCCCTTGATAAGCACACAAAAACTCTGTGTGTGTGTGTGTGTGTGTGTGTGTGTATTGTTTAAATGTCGTGTGATGAATAAATATAAATGATAGAATTAAATTCATTGATAGTAAAAGGCCCTTTGGTTAAATGGTTGGAAAGCACCATTTTTTGGCAATGTATTATTAAATAGATAATAGTTTAAATATCAGTATATTTAATTTAGGTTCTCTTGTGCTATGTACTCAAGATACAGTGTAATGAGACAGAAGCTGACCTGCAGCCAGATAGTGAGAATCTCTCTTGTGTGAGCATCCTGATGTATGCAGTAGTGGGAATCAAACCCGGGGTCTGCTGTGTGTTAGGCCTGTACTCTGCTACTGAGCCACATCCCCAGCAGCCTGTCATTTGTCATTTTAGCATAGTGTCTGGCACTGAGGCATATCTCACAAATGCTCTTCATCTGATAAAGGATCCCTTACAGAAATTATAATCTGCCCAGACCTTTCACCGTCCTGACTGTCACTAATCTCAACCTAGCTTTGATTTCAGTTTGTCCATGGTTGTTGTCTTTTCCTTATCAGTGTCTTTGTGTTGGTGACCATGCCTGGAGTACTAGTCTCCACCTCATGCTATCCGAATTCTCTTCAGATGGGAGTGACCGTGTTCACCGTGTGTAGCAGGCTCTCTGTTAGTGTATGAGAGATGTGTCTGCAGTCACCGAGTTATTGGCCTTCTTTCTGTTGCCTACATATTTCTGATTTGTTTCTTATGTTTGTCCTGTTCCTTCTGGATTCCCCACAGTGCATAGGATGGATAGGCTTGTCAACTTAGTCACAGCCTGCTGGTGTTATCTAGTGATTACAGCTAGTATCACCCTGCCAGTCTCTCTCTCTTTATTTTTTAATTTTTGGGACATGGTTTCTTTATTATGCAGCCCTGGCTGTCTTGCGTCTCTTTATGTAGACCAGGTTGGCCCCAGACTCAGTGATCCACTTGCCTTTGCCTCCCAGTTGTTGGGATTAATGACAGGCATCACTGTGTCTGGCCTTCTGCCAGTTTCTTATCCAGCAGACCCCAGTGGATTTCTGAAACTCTGGATGTGTTACGATTTTTCTGTACATACAGCTGTGATAAAGTTTAATTTACAAATTAGGCACATTAAGAGTTCAACAATAGCCAGGCGTGGTGGCGCATGCCTTTAATACCAGCACTGGGGAGGCAGAGGCAGGGTGGGTCTCTGAGTTCGAGGCCAGCCTGGACTACAGAATGAATTCTAGTTCTCTACACACCCCTAATTCAACACTAATATAGTAGAAAAAATTTAATAGTATAATATAGTAAAAAAATTATGTGAATATGTTTTCTCAAAATATTTACTACACTTTTAAGTTTTCGTAACCTCAGCATAGGTAATTTCTGTTGGTTTGCATCTTATTGATTTAGGTTTGATATCCTTTCAGTATACTGGCTTTTGATTTGGTCTGTTACTTTCTGGAAACATTGAGTAGTATCATGAGACGATTTTATTTGTGATTCTCTAGCATCTTAATGTAAGTGCTTATGGCTGTAAAATTCCTTCTTAGAATTGCCTTTACTGTATCTTTCATTTTTCTGATAGTGGTGTTTTCATTTTAATTGTTTTTAAGAATTTTAAAATTCCCTTCCAGGGGTTCTTTGCATGCTCCTGGGGGTGTATTCAGTAGTCTCATCCAGATGTGAATGCTGGGAACTACAACAGTGAGTGGCCTGGTAAGACTTGCCCAGTGGTGCAGTAGTGGCACAGATGTTAAGGTGGTAACCTTCCAATTGGATTTAAAGCCCATTTCATAAGACAGCGCTCATGCCTAGGACTGGTCTTGGGCCAAGAGCCTGTGGCTAGCTAGGTCATGGGACCTAGGAAGAACCCACTACTTTTATTCTGCTATGTGGACATGGCAGTAGTAAACTGGCTCCTAATGACTTACCGTATACCCATATTAGTGCATCACTCAACCCTTATCAAAGGAGCAGTAGACGGCCATTTCCATAGAGACCCACAGACTGGTCAAGATGAGGAGAATAAGAAATTACAGGGTGTTCAGCCCTCAGTGGGACATCTCTATCATATCCTTCCTCCCAAGACTCTTGATATTTTAACTAGAATATGACATAGAATAGTCCAAAAAGACTAGAACAGAGGCAAGATTAAAAAAAATATTTTTCATGTATTTGGATGTTCATATCTCCCCCTAAATTTCTGTTATAATTCTGTTGAATAGTTTTTTTTGTGCCTTTAGTTTGTATCCATCCTCTATACTAAAGATTTCAAGTTTTTTCTTTTTAATATTTCTTTTTATTTATGTTGTATGTGTATGACTGTATGAGTGTGTGTATCACTTTTGTATAGGTGCCATCAAAGGCCAGAAGAGGGTGGAGTTACAGGTGGTTATGAGCTGTCTGATATGGGTGCTGTGAAGGAGCAATCCTCTAGAAGAGCAGTCCATGCTTTTAGACCCAGCGGTCCCCAGCCTCAGACTTTGCTTCTTAACCACACTCTAGAAGTTCTGGAAGCTGTCATAGCTTTGAACATTTCTCTTTATTGGTTTCTGAATCACTAATTCCTCCCCATGGTTGCAGTCTCTGACCCCCGGAATCCTTTCTTTCTCCTGATTAGTCCACAGAACTGCTTTCTTATGGGTTTTTCCTTTTCTATAATGAGGTCTTCTCCCCCAGTGTCTGTTTCTTTGCTGATTTTCTCATCTTGCTCTTCAATTTATTTCATTAACTTATTTATTTATGTCTTCTTTGAGATAATTGGCTATTTAAAAATTATTTTTTAATTTTTTTTTTGTCCAGTACTTCAGTAATTTTTATCTCTTTGGAGAGAGGAATTTTTGGAGGAGTCATGTTACTTCATGTTTTCTTATTTTGTATTTCTGTGTTACGGTTTGTTTATGGGGTAAACACCTCATCCTATTTTTTTTTTCTTGGGTGCCCTTGGTGTGGTCAGTTCACTTCTGTGTTGGGAAGAGAAAGCAGACTGCAATAAAAAAAGCAAACCCCAACAGAGACAAATGAGATGCTTAATTAAAAAAAAAAAAAGACATTTGGGAATAACAACTATGCCCCCAACAGGAACTGTAAAGAGAGAAGCTAATGTCATAAAGGGTAAGGTAGGAAGTTGAACAATTTGAATGGTAGATATTAATAAAACAACAGAAAAGGAGGAGAGACACAGCAAAGTAGTAAAGAGCGAAAGTGTGTGGGGTGAAGTTAGGAGATAAACAGTAAGAAAAGGAAACTGTTAAGCGGGGCATGAAGAACAAGTCCAGAAGAGGAAGAAGGTTCCTGCTGTGCCAGAGCCTCTTAAGAAAAAGTGAAGGAATTGCAGAGTCAAAGGTGAAGTACAGGAAAACACCTGTCAGAGACGCTTAGCTTCAAAAGAGCTGACTCAGCACCTTCACAGAGGGTGGTGGGGAAGGCAGATGTGCAGGACTGAGAGCTGACTCAGCACCTTCACGGAAGGGGAAGGGGATAGGCAGATGTGTTCAGGAATCCCTCAGTTTGATCTTGCTGGTCCAGCCTGAGGACTATCTGGTTGGATGCTCCCTGTGCCGGAGGTGCTAGGCCAGTGCATATGTGGGGGTGGGAAATAGCTAGGCAGAGGTTACATTTCCACCTAATGTCTCTGGGACCTTCAGAAAGAAGATGATCTAACCAGAACAGTTTGCCCTGGGGCTGGGATGGGGGTGAGACTCAAGTTCTGGGTGACTGCGGTGCTTCCAGTCTCTGTCCCAGGCTCCACTTGTGCACACACAGTTGATTTCTTCTGCCCTTCCCAAGTGGGAGCACGATGGATACTTTCTCCCTTATAGACTCATTGTCCGAATTAGTGTCCCCCCGTAACTGATTTCCTGGATCCATACTCACAGGATGGCTGTTCACTCAGCTGGGGGAGAACAGAGGTCACTGGGACCTCAGATGTAGAAAAGCAAGGGCCTCTGTTCCTTCAGTCATTAAGTCTGATGGTAAGGTAGGAAGCCTAGGCCCCTCCAGACCTGCTACTTGTTTTGCAGATCTCTGCTTTTTTTTGGTTGGTTGGTTTTGGTTTTTTGAGACAAGTTTTCTCTGTGTAGCCTTGGCTGTTCTCGAACTCACTTTGTAGATCAGGCTGGGCTTGAACTCACAGGGATCCACCTGCCTCTGCCTCCCAAGTGCTAGGATTAATGGTGTGCACCACCACCACCTGGCCAGATCTGTTTTAACTACATTTTTGCATCACACCAGATCCTGCATCTTAGGCGCTCACCGTGGAGGTCCGTCTTCTCTCTTGCTGAATGTCCCTCTTCCTATAGTTCTGCAGAGCATCCAGTGCAAGGTTCCTCCCTGTCTGTCACAAATCTGAATTCCAGTGTTTTGGGATTTCACCAGTCTCGTTCTGTTGCCTCCTGCTGTATAACCCACACCACTCCTGCAGCTGTGTTCCTTGTCTTTTCAATCTCATGGGGGCTCGGGTGTATGTGCTAGGCGTGTCTCATCTGCCGTAGCCCCTCTCCCAAATCATACCTTTTTGTTGATAAAATGTCTGAAATTGAGGAACATTATAAAAATCTCGAATTGTGTTTGTTTTGTCTTTTGAGACAAGGTTTCATGGAACCCAGACTGGCCTCAAACTTGCTCTGCTGCAAAGGCAGCCTTGTATTCCTGATCCTCCTCCTCCACCCATTGACAAACATGTGCCTTTAGGGGTGGGATTATTTCCTTTCAAGACTTGAGAGAGCTATCATCATTTGTATCCGAAACCTTTTGAAGAGGTGGTAAAACCTCTAGGGTAAGGGTAGGGTGTTTGGCTGTCCCGTTTCATGACGTAGTGGAAAAATTAAGTTTAAGTTTGATGTATTGAGCCAAGTACAGTAAGATCTGGTAAACTGGGGGGGTCAGGGGGTGGTGACCGTAGTGACTATTGTTTCCTGTTGCACAGCCTCCTAGATGTTTGAGACCTGCCAGGTCTTAAGGCACTAGGGGGATAGTGATGACCAAGAAAAACCCAGTCCTTGACTTTACAGAACATGGAGGACTGAGCTGTAGGAAAGCCTGGCCTCACTGCAGTTGCTTACAGAGGCACATGAGGAGACATTAATCAGATATTCTGTGTTTAGAAAGACATTGTTTTCAGAGGTTAAGTATTAAATTAATATCTCATGTTAGCCATTATTGTATTAGGCAGCCTACGTACCAAATTTTAGCTATGGGAAAAAATGTCCTGGCTTTTTTTTCGTTTTGTTTTGTGTTTTTCTAGCTTTAATCCTTGTCTTGAATGTTTATTATAGGACATTTGGTTTCCAGAGATTGTCACATTATTCTTTTATGCTCCTACATATCAGATTTTTTTCTTGAGTGACAGTAGAGAAATAAGATCTGTAGTATTTATGGAGATACTTTCTCTGTGATCCTCTCTGCACTGGCCCTCAACAGAGACCTCTGTTTTTCCAGTATGTGTGTCACTGTCCTTTCCAGCTGATACATGCCTGAGTGCAAACTCACATCCTTCCTATTTTAGCATAGTGATAGTTTATTGTGTTTTAATAAATAAAGCTTGCCTGAATATCAGAGAGCAAAACTAGCCACACTAGTCAGCCATACAGGCCAGGCAGTGGTGGCACACGCCTTTAGTCCCAGCAGCCACACTCGTTAGCCATAGAGGCCAAGCGGTGGTGGTGCACACTTTTAATCCCGACACTAGAGAGGAATATAAGAAGGGAGAAAACAGGAGTTCAGGGTCTTAGTCTTAGTCTCAGTTTGCGGTGTGGTGGCGAACAATTTAGTCTGAGGTTTGGTGGATTGCCCGTTTGATCTGAGCGTTGGTAGAAGAGAGAACTCTATAGTGGTTTGGTTGCTTTGCTTTTCTGATCTTCACCTTGAACCCCAGTATCTGTTTTTATTATTTGTGCTACATTTTAGGATTTGGGAGGTTTGGCTCAAGCTAATGGATGGACATTAGAGGATGTCACCGAGAATAGGAGGTTGGGCTACTCTTTCCTTGTCCTCACACAACATTCTAGTGGAGATAAATACACTTGGTATAACTGTTGCCATTTCAGAAGTTACCTCTGCTCAGTCTTTATGCTTCTCACGGCCTTTCTGTAGGCTTGGGATTTGTTTTCTAGTGTGTACATCCCTTCCTCTCAAATGGTCTCTTTAATTCTTATGTCTTTTTCATCTCTTCCTTCTATCCTCTTTCGCTTTTTAAGGGGTGTGAGATGGGAGTCTCTTAAAACAGGACCTCAGGCTATAGCCCAGTGTGGCATCAAACTCTTGATCCTCCTGCCTCAGCTCCAAACTGAAATACAGGCATATGTTATCATATCTGGGTCTTCTGCAAGAGCAAGTACTGTTAACTACTGAGCCATCTTGCCAGCTCTCAGATAATTGATGTTGATACCATTTAGTGGATGCTTCTGGTCCAGTCAGGGGTAGTCAGTGGCCGCACCCCTTCCATTTTACATGCTGAGTTTATTGACTTGGCAGTAGACACCAGACCAAGTTGAAAGTGGGATGATTGGTGCTGGGACGTTGTTGCTTCAGGTTCTCCTGTTCTCATTTTGCAGAGGTGGTCAAATATTCGTCTATTATTTGAGTTATTAGTGTAGTTACTCCTACTTGGTAAGTTCTGTTTAGACATGTCATTGATCTTCATTGCAACTCTTAAAGGTTAGTGACAATATGTTCATTTTACAGGCAAAGAAATTATATAAAAACCTTAAATGACTACAGTTCACACATAATTGGTGGTGGAGCCTAGACCTGAATGAAACTAAGCCTGCTCTGTTAAAGTTCCTTTTCTAATAACTTTATCTGTCCTTGAATGAAGAACCTTGCTTCTGGAGGCCTTTGTCATGGCTTTTAGTTTGCAGCAACTGTTTGCCAAAGGATAAGGCAGAGGTTAAAGTCTTAGAGAATGCATTGCTATCTCAATATGGCTCTGCCCTGGTGGCTCTCTGAGGCCTTTACTTAGAATTTCTCTAGGGACAATTTGGCGAGTAGAGCCTAGGCTGACTGCTAAATTAGTTACTACCTCCAGTTACAGTAGACTGTACCCAGCCAAACCTCCATAATTAGACCTGTGCTGTGCCTAACTAGGAAAGGTCAGGCTGAGGTGAGGGATTGTAACTGTGTGAACTGGACCCCCTGTGGGAAGGAATACAAGCATAAGACCGTCAGGCCCTCTGCCTCTTGCTGGTTCTCCTTAGAAGCATGGCGTTGGAAAGCCTTTAAAAAATTGCATCATGTTCTTACAGTCGCCCAGGAGCTGCAGAGTGGGTGTGCAGACAGAAAAAAGGCCACTTCCTGAAGTGTTTATGCAGAGGACCATTTTTAGAGAGTTATGCGGAATGGAATTGGGTCTGACGTCAATTCTCAGTGTGCTTTCTCTTCCCTGGAGGAATAGCCCATATGGAAAGACAGATGTGAGCCTAAAGTCTTCTTTACATAGAAATAGAACTGAGAGGGAATGAGAACAGTGCTGGGAGGTGAAGTTGGAAGAGAACAGCTTGCTGCAAGCTATTGAAAACCAGGTTGCTCTTATGTGCACTGGGAAAAATCTTTCCTTAGGTATAACCTAAATATATAAAATGTCAGTATACAGCTAATTGTTTTAAGAGAAAATATTTGTGGAGCCACTTCAAAAGACAAAAAGTAGAATATCCCAGACCCTTCTGGGTCCTGGTGCTTCCCGTGATCAGGTCTACACCATCTCTGAGTAGTCTGCTGGCTTTACAGTAATAGTTTCCTTGCTTTTGTCTTTATTTTAAATTTTCTTCCCATTTCTTTATATGGTACACGAGTTGCTTGTGTACATGTGTGTGGACACGTGTGTGTGGCGGTCAGAGGACAATTTGTGAGAGTCAGTTCTCTCCTACCATTTGGCTCCCGGGATTAGACTCAGATCCTCTGCCCAACTTCAAACATTCTTGAACTTGTTTTATGGTTCAGGTATATCTGTTAGATATATTTTAGGTTGAGTTATATGAAATTATCATTTTTATTTCAGACACTGAATATTAATGATTTCATATATTGATCTTATACCTGGGTGTATTATTATTATACCTGGGGATATTAAGATGGTTTCCTATGATTCTAAGATCATAGGAAATACAGATGTTCAGTTTTGGTAGATGTACCAAATGGTTTTCTGAAAAATTTTGTACAACTTAATGTATAATTGTTGCTTTATATTATGGTCAACATTTTTTATGTTAATTTTTTTTTCTATACAGTATTTCTCTGTGTAGCTCTCTCTGGTTGTCCTGAAACTCGCTCTGTAGTCCGGTTTGTCTTTGAACACAGAGATCCACCTGCCTCTGCCTCCTGAGTACGGGAATTAAAGGCATGCACCACCACTGCCTGGCTTCTATGGCAATTTATTTCATGGTGATTTAACTTTACATTTTCTGCTTATTAGTGAGATTGAGCACTTTTCATTTGTTTCATATAGAGATTTTTGAAATACCTATTAAAGGAGCTTGCCTATTTCTTGTTGGGTGGTTTATTTCACTGATTGACAGGAGCTCATCTTATATACTGTGAACCTCGACTGCTAGATGTGTGTCATCTGTCTTCTAGTCGGCACTTAGGATTTGATTTCCAGATAGAGCATATTGATATTCCTTAGGCTGTGAGCACTTGGACGACTGCTGCCAATCTTCTGTACTTCCCTTGCTCCTCACTCCTGCCGCTGTAGTTCCTCAGCTGTGCTGAGCCTGCTGGAGAGGCAGTCCTAGGCCTCTGTCCGTTCTCTTCGCTTCTTGCAGGAGATGCTCCTGATCTTGCGGTATTGTTAGAAGGTGCAGTTCCACCTCTTATTCCATCAGGCGTGTCCTTTAGACCTCTAGAATAAGATAGATGAAGGGAGCAGTAGTGAACATAAGGTTGCTTTTTTTTTGTTTTTTGAGACAGGGTTTCTCTGTAGCTTTGGAGCCTTTATCCTGGAACTAGCTCTGTAGACCAGGCTGGCCTCGAACTCACAGAGATCCATCTGCCTCTGCCTCCCAAGTGCTGGGATTAAAGGCATGTGCCACCACCACCCGGCTAAGACTGCTTTTCTAGAGTTAGGCTGTACACCCAAGTTGGCTATTTAAGTGTCTGTGGTGCTGGAGGGACTTAAAAACATAGACTGACTGCAGACCACTCCAGCTGCCTCAGGGTAGCCCATGCTATTAGCCTAGGTAGTGTGGGTGTTTGTTCCTCTACAGCCCTGTGGGAATTCTTAGGGTTATAATTGAGTCTCTACTCTGCAACAATCTTCATAATTTCTGCTGAAGAGCTCACCTTTTCCGTTTCAGATTGACATCAGCAAATGCCATTACTTAGTGGACTTGGATACCATGAGAGAGACACCCTGGGAGCCAAACTATTCATCCAACAAAGAAGAGTGGATCAGTCTGGCCCATAGACCATTCCTGGACGCATCTAGGTATGTGACTTCAATTGTGGCAGATGTCCTAATCAGTGGTAAAAATGAATGCTGGAGTTGAGCGAATCCAGTCCTTGGCTGTCTTGAGTAATTCTTATTTCCTTTTTATTTGGTACAGTTTTGTCCATGTGTACTGAGAAATTTAAGAGTACTCTCTTCTTGAGGCCTCGGAATACAAAGTACATTCTATTATTATCGTAATGAAAGGTCCTGAGTAGTACAGGTAGGTCTATGTGGAAACTCAAATAAGGTTTTGATTAGTTTTGACTGACTTTAACTGACTTAACCGAGCGTTCTGACATTGCTAACAAGATTAACTGTGCTTTGAGGAGCTTGATGTCCATAACTATCAGAATCAAAGCTCCGCAAGTACTGGTAGGACTTCTATTTTGGTTGTTTGAGACAGGGTCTCACTCTGTAGCTCAGGACTGGCCTGGAACTCATTTAGACAGACAAGGCTAGTCTTGAACTTGGTGGTGATCCTCTTGCCTCAGCCTCCATTGGCTAGACTGCAAGTATGCCTTGCCACACCTGGCAGATATAGTGAAGGTTTTAAAAGAAAGACCCAGGACTTGGCTGACTCTTCAAAGAGGCCTGGGAATTAGGTGCAAAAAGAATGATGGGAAGCGTGAATTGGAGTGTGAGGGTGTTTGTAAACTTACTGTTTGAGGGTGAAAGAGGGAGACAGCCAATAAACATAAGAAAAGAGGAAATAGTCAAGAGACAGAGGCAGGCGAATCTCTTTGAGTTTGAGGCCAACTTGATCTACAGAGCAAGTTCCAGGACAACCAGGGCTGTTACACAGAGAAACCCTGTCTTGAAAACCAAACCAAAACAAAACAAAACACAAAACAAACAAACAAAACCAAGAAAAAAAAGGAGGAACTAGATTTATATATAAAGGTTCTTTAGAGGAAGAGATCCTATTGAATGTGTTTGTAACTATGAAAGGGGATTGTTAGGAGCAGACTGGAGGCCAGAAGTGGCTGGTCAGTCCAAGAAGATAGAAGCCTCAGAACAAATTGGCTCGATTCATGCTACTCTAACCAGTTACCTGAGGCTGAGTGGCTAAACAAGCAGATACTTTATTCTGCATAGTCTTGGAGGCTGGAAGTTTAAGGCCAGTGTGCCAGCAGTCAGGTTCTGGTGCAGGGCCTCCTTCTACCTAACGTGAGAAAGAGGATGAACTCCATTCTGGAGGGCTCTCCACCATCGCACTGGGGGTCAAATTGGAGCATAGGAAAAACACTTTTTGTGATGGGTCTTATTATGTAGCCTTGGCTGGCTTTAAATTTGCAATCTTTCTGCCTCCACTTCCCAACTGAGGAATTACAGGTGTGAGTCGTGTAGTCTAGAATAGCAGTTGTAAGTAGAGCTGTTATAGACTAAGTTTCTCTTATTTGAAATACTTGGGACTGAAAGTGTTTTAGCTGTCAGATTGTGGAATGTGTACAAATATATATAATAAGATATCTTAGGGACAGGATCCAGGTCTACTCACAAAATTCATTTATGTTTCATATATTCTTTATACATATGCCTTGTTGGTAATTTTTTTTAAAAGATATTTGATTTTCAATCAGATGTGGGGGTGAGGGTGGTGTCCACAGAGGCCAGAGGCCTTGGAGCCTCTGAAGCTAGACTTACAGGCAGCTAGCGGTGAGCTACCTGATGTGGGTGCTGGGAATCAAACCTGGGTTCTCTGGAAGAACAGCATTGCTCTTAACTGCCAAGCTGTCTCTCCAGCCCTGTGGTAATTTTACATGATTTGTTTAAGAAACAAGTTAATGGTGTGGCTCTTGGAAAATTTCAAACGATCAGATCAAGGCTACTCAGTTTTCATAAATACCCACTGGCATGTTTTGGGCAGGTGAGTTTTCTTCCTCTTTGGGTCAGTATTGAACAGTGTAATTGGTGAACTGTACAGTGTGAGCATGTTTAGCTTTGTAGGAAGCTGCCGTTCTGCATTCCTACCCGCAGAGAGTGAGGATTTGCCTGCTTGTGGTAGGGACCGTAGTATGTATCTTGATGTGGCTTTAGTTTATTTTTCTCCAGTGATATTTGGTGTGGAACATCTTCTTATATGCCTATTTGTCATCTGTAAGTCTGTTTGGATGAGGTGTTTTTAAAGTCTTTGGGGCCTGCTTGCCTGCCTGTTCTCCTTCCTTTTTTCTGGCTCTGGGGTTTGAACCCAGGGCCTATGGTTGCTAGACAAGTGCTCTGCCGTCGAGCCAACCCTCTAGCTCCCTTGACTTTTTTGTTTGCTAGGTTTTTTTTTTTTTTCTAGGCAGGTTTCTCTGTGTAGCCCTGGCTGTTCTAGAACTCACTTTGTAGACCAGGTTGGCCTTAAACTGACAGAGATCTGCCTGCCTATGCCTCCTGAGTGCTGGGATTAAAGATGTGTTTCACCATTACCTGGCCCTTTTGACTCATTTTTAATTAAATGTGTCCTGTTCTTCTTGTTTTCTTGATAATTTTTTTTTACAAAAAGCAAAAATTTCAATTTTAATAAAGTTCATCTTAACAATTATTTTCTCTCCTACCGTGTGAGTCCTGGGGATTGAACTTGGGTTTTCAGACTTAGTGTCAAGCACCTGTACCTGCTGAGCCATCTTACCAGTTCAATGACCGTTTTCTTCTTCAATTATGTATAGATTGTAGCCAACTAGTAAGGCAATTAACCATTTTTTTTTAAAAAAAAAAGAACTTTATTGGAGTATAATTTACATGCCAAATTATATAACCACAATTGTATGTTACCTTGCCAGCTCCAACTCATATTTTCTTTATATTTATAGGTTTGAATTTTTGGCCGTTTGTTATAAGTGGGATCATATAATATGTGTAGTTTGTGTTTGATTTCCATGATAGTCTGTATGAGAAAAGTCACCCATAGGCTCAAATTTGGACGTTTGTTCCCCAGTTGGTGGCACTGTTTGTGGAGGTTTGGGACCTTCTGAGGTCGAGCCTCGCTGGAGGAAGCATGCTGAGGTCGTGCTGTTGGATGTTTTACTCTTTTGCTCTTTTAGCTTTTTGGGGGGTACCACCTAGCTCCCAAATAAATCACACGTAAAGACTTATTCTTAGTTATGAGTGCCTAACCTTCGCTTGGCTTGCTTCTTGCAGCTTTTCTCAACTTAAATTACCCCGACTACCTTTTGCTCTGGGCTTTTACCTTTCTCTTCCTTCTGTCTGTCTTACTCTCGCTCCTACTCTGTGGCTGGCTGGGTGGCTGGCCCCTGTCGTCCTCCTCCCCTTTTTCTCTTGTTCTCCCTTTCCTTGGTTCTTCTATTTATATTCTCTGCTTGCCCCGTCTATCCTTTCTCCTGCCTTGCTATTGGTCATTCAGCTCTTTATTAGACCATCAGGTTTTTCAGACAGGCAAAGAATCACAGCTTCACAGAGTTAATGCAGCATAAACAAAAGGCACACACCTTAAAATAATACTCCGGAACCAACGGGTGGCCTTTGAGAGTTACGGTCTCGTCCCAGTTGCACTTGGCGTCCTCTTCTTTCTGGGCTGCTCTGCCAGCTCAGCTGTAATGCTGCTGCCTTTACAGCTCTACCCCTGACACCATGAGCCGAAAGGAGCTTCCTTCCGTCAGTCGTTTCTGATCATGGAGTTTGTAGTTTGTGGCAGAAACAGAAAGGTAACTGATACAGCTTCTTTTTGTTCAGCATGTTCTTGAGGTTCATTCAGATGATCAAAGGTACCAGCCTTTGTCCCTGGTTATTGCTGAACATGTTCCTTTCTGTTGTTCATTCCTTCTTCTTGCTGATAGACTCTTGGACTTTTTCCACTTTGGGGCAGTACGAATAATGACGCTATAAACGCATGTGGGGTTGATCGTGGTTAAGAAGCCACAGCAGCGCATGGGAGACCGAAAGTCATATGTGAGGAATCTTCTAATTAGTGGTCATGACTTTAATTTGATAACAAGTGAGCTGGGAAGGGCATTGAGGGAGTGAGAGATGGTGAAGGGTGGCAGGTTGTGAGTGGAGGAGCTTGCTGGAAGAGGGAAGCAGCAGTGGCGGCGTCAGAGTCCTCAGTGCGTGTGCTTCACAGTGCCTACTCCTGCCTGGTAGAACATTTGGGCTAGATCTTACCGTGCTAAGAAAGCAGTGACAGCAAGACTCAGGCTAGGGAAGAGCTTCATCTCTGAGGAACAGCAGACCTAAGCAACCTTCCTGTCAGCTGGATGCCTTCAGGGGGCTTCACTTTTGTTTTTATTTTTGTTTTTTAGAGATGGGGGTCACACTATGTAGCTCTAGCTGTCATGGAACTCACTATGTAGACCAGGCTGGCCACCTGCCTCTGCTCTGGAGTGCTGGCATTAAAGGCATGGACCACTGTGCCCAGAGGGTTTTTATTCCTTATAACTTGTGTACGGGGTAGATTTTCCAGATAGTACATTGAGAAAGAAAGAAAACTCACTTGACTTGTGAATGAAAGGGGTCAGGGTCTCACAGAGACGTGGGGTATAGTGAGAGCGTGGAGTCGGAGGACCTGGGACTTTAATCCTGGCTGCTTGCTGTCAGTGCCTCCACATCTGGAAAGCAGGGGTGTTTTCTACGTTTGTAGGGTAAGGTGAGAACGAGCAAAAGTGCTGTGAGCTTAGGAAGTGTTCCAGCAAGTCAGACCTTTGAGCAAGCTCTGCAGCTCCCGATCCTACTGTCGGTACGTTTCTCTGTAGATTTGTGCAGTTTACTTGACGCATTTTGCTGACATTCCTTGCTGACATAGTCTAAATAGGGCCTCAGCTCTCTGAAACGGAGAGAAGCAAGCAGGATAATTTGCCAATGGGGAAAAAAAAACCACTCATGAGAGAATGTTACTGGAGAGTCTTTGCAAGAGCAAAGCAGCTTAAAGATTATTGGGACATTTTTGTGATTGGGGCACCAGTGACCATGAAGACACCCATTCTCCGTGGGTTGGTAAGGCAGGGCTTGGCTGCTGGACGCAGGAGATGCACTAAATGAAGCTGTTGGGAGCATGGCAG